ACAAAAGAAAATGACCCAGCGGACGAACCCCCCCCCCCCATTGAGCTGCCAGAAATCAAGATTGATTTGGAAAAGAAAGAGGGGGAGAGCTTTTTTGAAGAAGCTTTTATATGATTCTCGCTCATTATTGAGCTGGTTGCCAGTTTCGACGGCGAGGGTGGTGGTGGATTTTCCAGTCCACCGACCAATTTCCTTATTTTTATCACTTTTCTATGAGCTACGTAAGGGGGCTGTTGGGGGAAACGGACAATCCCATGGAAATACGGTAGTCTTTTGCACCCAAAATGGCACTTTTCTCCATGGGACTGTCTAGTTCCCCAGTCGGTCAGAGTACTGAGCTGAGGTTTTAGCTCTGTGTATCACTTCGGTTTGGGTGTAGGAACCCAAACCCTCGGGGTTTTGGGGGTTTCCCCCAGGCCTACAAATAGCGTACATAGACGACCCATAGTTTAGTGAGTAATTCAATTGATTATATTATTCTATTGTTGAAGCCTCTGTTCTGCTGCCCATAAGAGATTCATTACAGTGACCGGAGATTACCACACGATTCTGTGTGTGGTTCTCCGTACCCCGCAATTACCTCCAACAGATAATTGTCATGAGCCATCACGTGCGGACTCCAATCACGTGCGCTGTGGTGCCAAGGTGGACGGTCTGCGTTAGTGCCGAACCCCACCCAGAATCGTATATACTGTAGTAGGAACGCAGACCTTCAGAGGAGGGTCAGCGTTCAGTCTTCGTATCAATAGAGAGCTTGACTATGTAACTATTCAGCCAAGGCTCTTTACAATTACTAAGCATGCCTAACCTTCAGCAGATAATGTTTGAAAATAAGACCATACACTAGCTGGCTAGACAGGTAATGACATCTTAAATTTAGCCCTAAGTTGAAAACAACAATAGCTTAGAAGGCATAGGAAAGCATCATTAGATAAAGATGTTGTTAATTAACTTTGGATAAAGACATGTAAACTGTAAAGAGCCAACCTGCCGTACCTGATATGGTCATTAGTATAACTACCGCAGATCAGATATGATGCCGTCGTATCTCACATCTCGCATCTCGAATCTAACAGGCCTGAGCAGATAACGTACTTGACAAGCGAGTCGTATTTGCATGCGAGTCGTATCGCAACACACCAAATCTGCACTTTACAGGTTAATAACTCAACAAATTAATTATTTAAAACCTCTAAAACTACCCTAATTAGGAACCTGCTTTAATGGGCATGTACGGGCAGTATGTGTGACTGATCTACACATACTACATGCTGGTGGCGCACGTATTTGCAGGTCTGCTAGCTCACCTGTAACCCTACCCTCAACTACTATATTTGCTGTTTGTGCCCGCTCTAGGCCTTCCTGAACCGTTAAAACACCTCCCCTAGCTATATACGACCTCCTTACGGCTCTCTTCTTCTTTTGCCTCTCATTTGCAGCCCGTAGCTGCTTGTTTTCGTCCGCAAGATAGCCATTTGGCACCCTTTTACTAGCTGCTTGAATGCTGCTCTGTAGGGCTTGAGAAGCCTGCTGTATGGCGCTGAACAGATTCCTTAATTGCAGTAGCCTGACGGTCCAATTGACTAACATTATGGGGCGTTTCAGGTACCCAATGGTCCTGGGTAGTGTCTAGGAGAAGTAGAGGTGGGGTTGGTGTCCGTAATTGAGTATTCAGCTTTGAGAGCACCCGTTCTGGGTCGTATGGGTGTATGCCAGTGGCTGCAAAGCCACTACGGATCACATTAGGTGTTATAGAGTCTTTGCGGGCTGCAAGGTAGGCTGTAAGGAAGTCAGGTTTGTCAATATGACTAACTCCAACCCGCATATACCCCTCGATTTGTTTTCCGTATAACCGTTTCATAACTGCAAAGCAGCTAACGTCAAGTGGTTGCAAAAGATGTGACGAGTGTGGAGGCATACAGAGTGTGATAATTGAGTGCTCCTTGCAAAACAGGTCAAATTCAGGAGTGGAATGGCTTCCATGTCCGTCAAGAATCAAGAGCCTGTAAACACCCTTTGTACGGTCCTTTGTGTGCTTCTGGAAGACGTCCGTAAGCCAGGTAAGGCCTAAAAAGTCGTCCGTCCACCCGTTATTACTAACTGCAATGGTCCAATCTCGAGGCAAGGTATCCGTATACCAACTTGATATATGGACTTTTCCCTCAAATATAACCATTGGGGCACACTCCACCCGCTTGCTGCAATTGATTCAATAACGGTAACCCATTCACGGTTCCCTGGCTGCACACAAACGGGCTTATGGGCCCGCTCAGAACCCGTAATCACTTTTGCGGTTGTAATCACTCCCATTTGAAATCCCGTCTCGTCAAAGTTATATATGTCATCTTCCTGAATCCCATATTTGGCAATTGTGTTCTGTAAAAGTCGAAACCAATCCCGAATAACGGTAGGATCTTCACATTTTGCCCGTTGATAATCGTATTTATGGGTGTACTTTGATTGGAGGAAAGGGTGGCGCTTTACAAAGTTGTAAACCCATCGTTGGCCAACTGTAAGAGGGGTAGAGTAGACCGCGTCAGACCGTTTTTGGAGTAATAGATTTGCCATTTGCCGTACAGATTCAGATCTAAGGGGTAGACCTCGTTTCTCCATAGATAATATCCATTTGACAAGTGTTGACTCCTCTGTGTTGCTAAGTTTTTTGTTTGCGGGTTGTAAATCGCGTCGAGCAACGCGTCCGTTAACGCGGTCGCGGACAGTTGTGTATGGCACATCGTAGGTTGTACAAGCCGCTTTAAGGTTGCTAAAATAGCCTTGATGGAAGGCCTGAATAGCTAAATCAATTCGGCCTTCAATCTGACTAGCCGGAGTGTTCTGTGGTTGAGCCATTATAGTCATTAGTGTCCGTAAAGTGCAGATTTGGTGTGTTGCGATACGACTCGCATGCAAATACGACTCGCTTGTCAAGTACGTTATGGATAACGTATTCCACCAGTAAGCCGGTAACACGCGTAAGCCGGTAATCGCGTCGAAAATCAACCCACAAACCATCCGTAAATTACAAAATGAATTGAATTGAATTGAATTGATTACTTTGGAATTGAATTAATTACAATTAAGCTTCTGAGGGCATACTCGAGCATTATGCTCAAGTGATGAACATATACTGCACCTAGGGGGTGCGCGTATTCGTGGCTCTTGCAGAATGCTCGTTAGCTCCTCAACATGCTGAATATCAACCATTTGGGAGCGATTCAACCCTTCTTGAACTGTAAGAACTCCTCCTGTAGCTATATATGACCTCCGCTTTACTCTCTTCTTCTTCTGCCTCTCGTTTTCGGCCCGTAAGTGGCGGTTCTCCTCCGTAAGAAGCACAGCACTATGCATAGCCATTTGACAACCCTTGACTAGTTGATTAAGTGCAACCTCTGTAGGACTTGGTGGACTATGCGTACGACGTTGAATGTACTCCTTAATCGTTTGTGTTTGACGCTCAAGCTCTCGAATATTATGCGGAGTCTCAGGGTTCCAAGGAGAGCTTTGCGGATGGTTTATAGGTGGAGTTGGTGTCCGTAAAGTAATATGAAACTTTTCAAGTACGTAACTTGGATTGTACGGAACAAGCCCAGCAGCCATGAAGCTATTTCGAATATTGTTTGTATTTAGAGCCTCTAGTCGAGTACTTAAATAAGCTCTAAGGAAGTCGGGCTTGTCGATATGGTTAAGACCATTACGCATAAGGTTTTCAATCTGCCGTCCGTAAATCCGTTTTACAGCCGCAAAGCAACCAACATCTAAAGGCTGTAATAGGTGTGACGAATGCGGCGGCATACAAAGCGTAATAATTGAGTGTTCCTTGCAGAATAAGTCGAATTCAGGAGTACTGTGGCTTCCATGACCATCTAGAATTAGGAGTCTGTATACTCCTTTCGTACGATCTCTTGTATGCTTCTCAAATACCTCCGTAAGCCATGTAAAGCCAAGGGTATCGTTCGTCCAACCGTTTTCACTAACACCAATCATCCAATTCGGTGGAAGAGACTTAGTGTACCAAGTGGATTGATGAAGCTTCCCTTCGAATATCACCATTGGAGGCGTGCTCCAACCATCTGTGCAAATGCCCTCAATAACTGTTACCCACTCCCGATTCCCTGGCTGGAGAGTAACTGGCTTTCCAGCTCTTTCAGACCCGCAAACCACTCTTGCGGTTGTGATCACTCCCATCTGGAATCCCGTTTCATCGAAGTTATATATATCATCATCCGTAATCCCATATTTCACCCGTATATTCTCCAGAAGTTGAAACCAGGCTCGAATGATAGTAGGATCTTCACATTTCGCTCGCTGATAGTCATATTTACGATTAAATCGTGATTGTAAGGTTTCGTGACGTCGTACGAACTTATAGACCCAATTCTGGCCAACTGTAAGATCTTGATGGTCCATAGCCGTTAAAGTCGAGCTCCGTTTGTCGCGTCTTTCAAGGAGTAAATTGGCCATTTGTCGTACGGTATTAACTCGAGGTGCTAGACCACGCTCATCCATTGATAGGATCCAACTTATAAGGCTAGATTCCTCAGTCTCTGTGAGTTTGCGGTGTACGGATCGTAACTCGGTCTTCGGAGCGCGACCGTGAAGACGATCGCTAGCAGTTGAATAAGGTACTCCGTACACCTTCGTAGCGGCTCTAAGGCTCTTAAATTGGCCTTTACGGAAGGCTTGAATAGCTAGGAGTATTCTCCCTTCTTTTGAAGCCAACTGAGAGCTCTGATGTTGAGACATATTGTATAGTTTACAGGTTTACGGATGGTTTGTGGGTTGATTTTCGATGCGATTACCGGCTTACGGGTGTTACCGCCTTACTGGTGGAATACGTTAAGCAGTATTACATAAGCTTAACAGGTGGCAGTTCGAATTTGAGGACCATGGGGCGGTGAGACCAATTGGGCTAGTCAGGGTGGCGCACAGGGGCCCCAGCAGACCCTGAATTGAAAGTGGTGTATCCAGGTCCAGGTACTCAGTACATAACATACGGTACACTTAGACGCCACCCGCCACTTCCCACACAGCGTCCGAATCGCTCCAGGCTACAGATATTCCACTAATATTCTCTCCAACGTCGATATTATCTCCCTCCGCAAACCGATTTCTTATCTCGCCGGACTTGCGCATCACTGTTTAGCCACCGCACACTCATCAGCCTAATGAACTGAAGCCCCCAGAGGGCGAAGCGCGCCCGATCACAGTCGCCATGGCTGTAGAATACGACCCCATTCCCCTCTCAGACTTCGACGACATAGACTCCGAGCGCTACAAGTCCAGGCACTGGGCTCGACGTCGACGATGTCCCACCGCCCTCCACCTCTTCCGTAGAGCCCCGCGCCTATTCAGGCCCGTCTACCTCATCATCGCATTATTTGCCTTCCTCAACTGGCAGATCATCCTCAACGCCTCATACCAAAGCCCTCCGCCATTCACCATACCTCGCGAAGGGAACGTATACATTGCCGCGAACATCATCGATGCAGACCTCATAACGGGTGCTTGGGGCGAGTCGCTCAAGGACCTGGTGGATTTGATTGGGAAAGATAGGGTCTATGTGTCCATATACGGGGGCCCGGCCGCTGCGCTCAAGACTCTAGAGAGCAAGCTAGACTGCGACAACAGTCTCGTATCCGAAGAAGACGACCCTATAGACTTGGATGCTCTCCCACACATTACGCTCTCCAATGGTAAACAAAGGACAAAGCGAATCGCATTCTTGGCAGAAGTGAGGAACAGGGCACTGGAGCCACTGAATACCCTGGACAGGAAGTTTGACAAGGTGCTGTTCATCAACGACGTGTTCTTCTCAGCAGCCGATGCAGCGAGGATCTTGTGGGGCACCAACGTCAACGCTCAGGGTGTGTCGGAATATAAAGCCGCATGCGCGATGGACTTCATCAACAGCTGGAAATACTACGACACGTTCGCCACGAGGGATTTCGAAGGTTATAGCATGGGATTGCCGATCTACCCCTGGTTCTCGGGTGAAGGAAATGCAGTCAGCAGGAGGGATGTGTTGGCGGGCCGCGACGCTGTCCGAGTCAAGAGTTGCTGGGGCGGCATGGTCGCGTTCGATGCGCGGTATCTTCAGGCCGACCTTTCGTCTACTACCAAGACCAGAGCGACGAGTGAGGAGCCCAAGGACTTGGCTTCAAGGAATGTCGAGCCTCCGCAACTGCCGATCCGCTTCCGCTCAGAGCCAGAACCTTTCTGGGATACTAGCGAGTGTTGTCTCATCCACGCTGATATTGTGGCTGCCACGCCGTTCCAAGCTCCGTCCAAAGAGGTTAGCAAAATGTACGGCGATGGGATCTTTGTGAATCCTTATGTGCGCGTGACATACGATGCGAGCACATACAATTATCTCTGGCTAGTGCAGCGCTTTGAGAGGCTGTTCAGGGGACCCCAGTCGATCATCAATAGCATTGCGAAGCTGCCAAAATATAACTATAGGAGGGCAGAGGCAGAAGGCGATATAGTTGATGATAGGGAGTGGGTCCCGAATACAACATCCCGCACACGAAGTGAGCTCGACGGAGAGAGCTCTTGGCAAGTCTCGGAGACAGCAAGTAGCAGGGTGAAGCGCGGCTCCACCAAGGCAGGAAAGGGAAAGGAGTATTGGGATAAAAAGGGTCATTACGTCGACGTGAAGAGAGAAGCGACGCGGGGCGGGTACTGTGGGGTCAGATCACTATTGGTACTGAAAGAGAGCAAAGGGGAAGGGGAAGGGAACTGGGACACCATGCTTGACGAGGTGCCACCGTTGGAGAACTGATGTTAGTTTGCTGGGGATTTATTACGCGGACTCAGTCCCATCTGGGGATTGGGTTGGATCTCGGGATTTGGACATGGCGTAAACGAGCGATATGTGGAATATTGTATATGATATACAGAGGAACTTGTAACTAAGTTGGTAATACAGGACATGGGGGGAACCATTTTCCGTGGTAGTTTTTTTGTCAAGGATAACGATCAAACATTGTATATAGCTCTGGATAAAGCCAAAAGAAATTGCGCCTCGGAAAGAGGGTTATATTCTCAGGTGGCAAGAGTAATTTTCTCTACAAAATATGTTTTTCGAATCTCTCTTCCTTTAGGCACAAAACGGGTAGATACACACGCATTTGTCGATATGTGCTTCATACATAACATTGAGGGGAATGGACTCTTTCCTACAAATCTGAATCATCTCGCTAACACGCGGTATGGTAAGTATAAAATGACACTAATGCCAGCCAACTCCTTTTGCGGTACTTTTGGAGGCGGCATTGGGCCAGAAACACGAACACCGTTTCGTTGAGATAAACCGGGTTAATTCAATCCAGAATAATAGGGGTCCCAATTCATGCGGTTATTCGGCTCGCTCAGCGACTCAACCAGCGAAACCTTGAACGCCTTAGCAACCTCTTCTGCGATCGAATTAGCAAGCGCACCAACAACATAACACGATGCGCAACGTACCTCTCATTCCATCTACAGCCTCAAAAGCACTGGCATAATTTTCCAGCCCGCTTAATATACGCCCCAGACCCTGGCGCAGCGCATCCTCATACGCTGAGAGCGCAAGAGTGATCTCTGAATTTGGGGACTCCAGCTGCCCGTTGCGCAGCTTGTATATGAGCAATGTAAGAGCATAAGCGCCCATGAGAGCGCAGCACATGAAGGTGGGCATTGTGCGGGGCGGCAGGGCACTCAGCGGGGTGCTCAGGAGGCCGGAGGGGTCGACCATACCAGAGGGGTTGGGATAAGGGAGGGCGTGCAGGGTTTCGGAGATGTCCAGGGCCGCTTTGCGGGCGATGTTCGTGGAGTAGAGGGCGCTGAATGGCAGCTGCGAGTCACCTGGTGGCGACAGGAGGGGTGGGGGGCGACCTCCAGTGCTGGCGTGGGCTAGGCTGCTGGATGGATGCCCAGGCTGTAATTGACTCGAGGGATCGTGAGATATATCGATATTCGAGCTGTTCGAGGCGAGGACGGGGGTTCTATTGGGCGTAGTTGGTTGCAGTCCACAGTGTAGCTTTGAAAATATCGGAGTGTTCATAAATGCAGGGTAGCGATGGATTTTGATCCGCGCACTGTTGAGAAACGTCAGCGTCAGAGTCGAACAGATAAGAATAAGTAGGAGATGGACCTATTTATCTTAACACGTCCCATTAATCGGAGAGACTTCGCCACAACCGCCTCGCTGGAAGTAACCGGCATGTTGCATGGTGTTTTATCAAACCAAGCGTCTGCTATCTGACTGAGACTTTCCAGCCTTGCTTCCATATCGAGCGTGCGTATATACAGGACTGATAAGTCACCACCATTCTCAGTAATCCTGATGAGGTCGTTGGCATATTTTGACGCATCTAAAATCGCGTACTGGCATTGGACGAAGAATGGAATTGCCTAATCATTTAGCATATGCACGTTTCTAGAGAGGTGTCAGCTATTACAAACCTCGGGGTCTGCAGATAGGGTCGGATAAGGCAGAGAATATTTTGGGTCCCTGACATCAATTGCTGTTTCCTATAGACAGCAAGTTAGCCAAGGTCGGCCTGTGGTAGTTTGGAGGACTTGCAGTGCCGCTTATAGTTGCGACCTCGCAAACGTTGATGTACTACACAATATTAGACCTATTTCATGGATCAACACGAGAATCTTACAGTTGCCCACCAGACTCGGCGCCTTGCTTCGACAAACTGGTCTACTATTGGAGAGTAAAGCTTCGCTTCTAATGCTAGCATCAATGACTGTCCCGAGCGATTCAGCATCTTCTTTATGTTTCCTCGTTGGCCATATTCATAGATACTCAGTATCATTAGCGCCACATTGGATTCTAAGTCCAATGGTAGATCCTGATGGAAGGGTGCTCGATATGTGCGCGGACTTCCATTGGAAAGCGCATCCTTGGGGTTGATAATCGAGTCAACAAGCTCAGTCTCATTATCGAGCGCTTCAAAAGCCGCCTGCGCAAATTTATGGGCCTGGATCCTGCGGTTCCAAGTTGAATTCTCGCCTTTTGGATCAGGGTCGTCGGGGAGAGGTATGAGAGCAAGTATTGCCGAGAGAGCGAGTGAAAGCGGTGTACTGGGTCCATAGCCACCCGTAAGGCTTCCAAGCGCCACAGGCCGATCAACCGGTGATCGGATTGGGGGTGGCAGAGCCGGGAAATAGGCGTGGCAGTAGACATAATACGCATCTAGTCTACAGTCGGTAGTATCAGCTTCCGGTGTCTGGCAAGACAGTACTCGAGTAGCAATACAATGAATACAACTCACATATCAGCATCAGTCTCATAGGTTCGTACGTCACTCGAGTTCTCGTCGGATCCACTTGTAAGGGATGCACTGTTAAAGCTATCCCAGGCACTGCTTTCACTGTCCCCAAGTGGGTCGAATTGCATGCCAGAGAAACCATGCACTTGGTCCAACTGATCTATGCCATATAATGGCGCGCCCGCATTGGTCCGGGCGTCGGAAAGCACGACGTCTTCCCCGGAGAATTCGTCGAGCTGCCGGAGGCCAACGCCAGTGTCGGAGATGATGGATGCTTCTAAAAATTCTGCGTATAGCCATTAGAATGTGCAAAGTAGACGGGGCGTAATACTTACGCTGCGGGACTGATAGGGGAGACTCCTGCTTGAGGATGTCGGCGGTAGATATACGCGGCTTTCCTTTTGAGCGCCGGCCATGTAGGGAAACCCGAGGCCCGCCTCGTCTGCTTCGAGTATATAGGCACTCCTTCCCCTTTTCCAAGCACTGGCCATAAGCCGTCAGCATCTTCATATTCCCATCATGGAGATCTATGCATTCTCACCTTTGAACAATCTTGCTTCCCGTCACATCTTATGCGGGAGCTCCGACTAAAGTTAAAGATGGTGGATCAGCACTCGCAGCTTCCTCTGCTACCTGGGGAGATAGTAACAAGTGGGAATAGCCATACCACGACAAGCAAGCGAGCTTCACCGGCGGCTTTGCGAATTTTTTGCGTGCCTGGGAATCCATATCATGTGATTGAATAGAGACGGGGCCAAACACGGCCGAACAACGTGGTGCTTGGCGGCAGCGCGTGGGAATGGGGCAGCGTATGAGCTACAGCAATGCAATAGCTAGCTGAAGTGGAATTGTGGATTTAGGAGGAATAGAACTACCCAGTAATATAGCTGCAACCGAGATATATAAATAACAGCGGAGAGACGGGACGGCGGCAACAAGATGAGGCGGCAAAAATACCGAGAGTGAGGATGTGCATGGCATTTGGGGGGAGGGTCCACCGGAGACGTATTAATCCGGGAAAACCCGCGCTGTTGTCAACATGTTGATTACCAAATATGCGTGTAAACAGAGCCTCGGCCATCTTTGGACTTTTTCGGATTTTCAGATCCACTCTCTTTGTCAGGAGCAGAAGCTGTTGAGTAATAAATGTATGTATTCCTGACTATGTAACCTATACTTGGCTTTACCGATAATCCGTACGGAGATCATGTGAGATCATGTGACTATTACAACACACCCCCCCTGTTGGAGGGAAAGGAGGACATGGGCGTGGGGATTCGGTGGAAATTAGGCCCTGAGACACCCGTATTTCCCAAGGCGACCGTCCAGCTCCCATACTGGGTGGCCGTGCTGATCTGCTGCAGCCACCGAAATCCTCCACCGCTCAGGTGATTACCACCCAGCCGTACGGGGTTTTTCCCCATTCCCTACATATAGAATACGTAGGCCCGTAGGATAGTATAGGAATTTAATTGTTTCATTTTTACTCTAAATTACCATATTTACTGTGAGCGTTCTGTTCCGTTGCACCCGGGATTAATTACGGTCGCCGGAGATCTACATACAGTCCTGGCCCTACATCCCCGGACCGTAGAATTACTCCCATCACCCCCCACGTATCCCCATAGGAGCCTCAAATTGTAATATGAGGAACTCGGGAAAAAAAAAGGGGTGGTTATACCCGGGCCGGTGATAATAGTATGTCAGTCACGTACGCCCGATGATTCACATCTACGCCTAGTAACTCATTTCCAATCGGAAAACAAGTTGGCCACTTCAGATTGGATCTTCCGTCTTTCTTCCATCTGCCCCTGCCTACCACACATACCCTATCCTTTCCCATGAATCCCCACACCCCACCATACTTCTCTCTTCTTGTCGGCAAGTCCGTACGAGACAAGATGCCTGCTGTTGGACAGGTCTTTGTGGAAGACCTAAGCGAGGTCTTTGTGGATGCCAACATCCACATTTACCTTCCTCCTGCTGCCCGGGAGTCCCTGCCCCATCCTCTGCCTATATTGGCACCTCGGGTGTACACGACTGTCCCATACAGGTCCCCTGGGAATGTTCGCCTTGAACACCCGCAAGAAATTGCAGGGTTCTACATCCAGGCAGCGGGAGAGAATGTCGCTCAGGTCTCCCAGGTGAGATCAATGGGTTGTGAGCAGTTGTAAGGACACAGGGCACCCAGCTCACAGTAATAGCATATGAGAGTGCGAGTCGGAGGCTAAATGGATGCTATCCTATAGGTCTACTACGAAGGATACAAAAAAGATGATGGGGGAACCCCGTGAGTCGATTGTCTCAAGTACCCGAAACCCATCCGACTCGGTTCCGACTCGGTTAGCCCACCCAAATGATCACACGTGACCCGCAGCTACCCAGAGTCTACTCCCTAGAATGAGAGACGAGAAGGCATCCTTACAGCAGTGTGATGCTGCGTACGTAGAAGAGGGATCTCGGCAGATTCCCTTCTTTACAGTATGCATATCCTTTGGGAATGTGCAGGGTGGTGCCTGTGCTTCCTGTGTCATGAAACACCAGGCCGCAGCCTGCTCTCTTCGTGAGTACTTCCCTTCCCTGTTGACTTATGCACCTTTTAGCGTTCTTATGAGTCCGTACGAGCTAACACTTATAGATTCCTCCCAAGATGATCGGGAGCCCACCCCTCCTCCGAAGGATGACACTCCTCATCCTGGAGAATGTGCTGGGACTCGGGCCCATACGCGGAAGTTGGCGCTTGAGGCTACGCAGAGAAATGGTGGTAGGAATACTGTTTAAGTAGGGATTTGGATGTACGGACTTGTGGTGCTTGGGTTTTTCTTGTATAGATAGACAGAAATGGCAATGGATTTCTTGGTGATTCTTGTGCCATTCTTCTGACAGTTCCATACGTAAGTGTAAATGTATGAAAAGTCAGGGATTCTCCTGTTTTTATATGGTAAAAGTTGGGGATTTCCCTTGTTACCCCTGATTTCCCCCCTTTTGTTGAAATGGGTTTTGTATTTCGAAAAAAAATATGATGAAATCCGCATGCATAGTGTTGTATCTAGCTCGTACGGATCTATGAAACTGTCGAAAAAGAGTGTATATTTGTTAGGTCCCAAGGTATTCCATTGGGAAAGTTGAAATAAGAACGCATAGTGAAACTGGGTGTAACTGTAGGCGGCTTGGTCATTCTGAGAGTTCTATGTTCGTACGGAGCTCATCAGTCTCCTGTTCTTGTATTGCCTCACTTTTCAGATATTGTGATCTAGGGGGCTCGTTTCTGAGGTACAAAGGTAGCCACTGCTTCGTACGGAGTTGTGCTCTTAAGTAAGCACTCCTATAAACCCCCTCCTCAAGTCCTCAGTGAACACAGCAGCCGAAAGCCCATAGCCCCCACTGTTCACGACCTCCACCGCCTCCTCATCAGATGACACCACTCTGCACGCCGCGAGCGACGCGAACGACTCCTCTAGCCAGAGGGGATCCTCGTCGTATAGGAGGTGCTTTATGTCCACAAGGTTTAAATGATTAATAAACTCCTCGTGTCTTTGGCGTGGTAGGGCTTTTGTAAACCCGTCTGCTGGCTGTAATGGTGGGTGCACCAGATGTGAGAATCTAGCCACCCAAGGAAGGGATGAATTTACTAAGACAACACACTGTCTTAGGAAACAGAGCCAAAGGGTCGTAGCTTAGACTATTCCACAACGCAGCAATCAGGTGTGTGATGTAGTGAAGTGGTTCAGACAAGTTGCAACAAATGTTGAGTCTGGGAACTCAGGGGTAAGTCAGAGGTTAACACCTCACTGACTTTTCAGAAACAAGGAGTAACAAGATGAATGCTTGGAAGCTTGGAAAAGACGTGGAAGTATGTGATAGCCGATTTACTGTATTGTCTGCTTGCCCTTTCTTAAGGAAAGGGCAATCCTATTTATGCTAAAGGAGTGTAGTTCTCTCATTTTCCATGACTTTCCATGACTAACCAGGCTTGGTAACTGTAGTCGACATAAGAGAATCCCATAGAACCATCTCTTAGTTCGTAGCCTATAGGAAGTAAAAGGAGGTCCAAGGTCAGAGTACCCCTATAGACAAATTATGTCATAGACAAATTATGTCACAGACAAATTATGTCATAACTTAACCAATCTTGTGGGTAACTAAAGAGCGATGACGTGTAATGAATCATAGAGGTTTGTAGGAGCTTTTAGAGCTATCGTTCATGCTCCTAGGCCTCTAGTTGGTAGAGATATGTCATGTGGTAGTATGAGTGATGTCATGTAATGAATCATAGAGGGTTGTAGAGATATGCTATGTGGTAATATCGGCCCAGTAACTAAGGAGCGATGTTGTGTAATGAATCATAGATGGTTGTAGCAATCGTTGAGTAGTATTGCTCTTGTTGTTGGTGTGACAAGCCAAAATATGTATAGTGATTTGTAGGTTTGAGGAGGAGATTTCCAAGTTTGCTCTTGAGTTTGATAGCAAACTGAGTGCAACGAATGTCAGTATGACACTGGCATCTCGTACGTAGCTATCCACTTGATATCGAGATTGCGTCTCTCTATCTCCAGTCTTAGCCAGTGGGAGTGAATATCAATATGTTTGAGTTTTGTAACTAGCTTGGGGGACTCTTTGAGTAAGAGCCGTACAGTCTGCATATTGTCACATTGTAGGGTGAACTTCTCATTAAGATCAAGTTTGATAGTTGAGAAAAATCACTGCCACCAATAGAGCTGTTTTGCACTATGTGAAAGAGCTAGAAGCTCAGCTTCTGTAGTTGAGGTTGATACCGTTTTCTGCTTTGTACAGCACCAGTCAATTGCTCCTCCAAAGAGTGTGAAGAGATACCCTTCTGTACTCTTTCTTGTAGCTTCGCAATCTGCGTATGAAGCATCACTATAGCATTGGAAGTGTGGTGTATTGATCTTTGGTCCGTACTGGAGGGCTAGATGTTTTGTCTCCTTTAGATAGAGTATAAGTCGATCGACTGCTGCCATGTGGTCTGGTCCTGGGTTAACAAGGTATTCGGATAGTTTCTGCACCGTACGGGATATATCTGGTCTTGTAACCACTGCAGCGTAGTTGGTAGATCCTACTTTCTGTTGATATAGGTGGATTTGCTGTTTGCCTGCTTGCCCATCGTATGGAGTGAGATTGTCATTTACCATTGGAACCTTAACTGTTTTCAACAATGGCGTTACTCCGTACGTAGTCGTTATTTTGTCATTGTATGAGTCCTGGCATAGCCAGAGTGTTCTCTCTGTCCGGTCTCGTATAATTCTTATTCCTAAGAACCATTCAAGTTCTCCTATTTCGCGGAATTCATAGGCTTCCATGAGTTTCGTACGGAACTCTGTTGCTTCTGCCTTATGGTAGGGGTGGCTTAGAATGCAGATATCATCTACATAGAAGAACACAATGATTGTAGATGAGACGAATAGGCACTGGGCTTCTGGGACCTGTACGAGGCCTAGCTTCTTCAGTGTATCTGAAAAGTCGTGGAAGCATAGGAGTGGTGACTGTCGGAGTCCACATAAGGCTCTGTTGAGTTTCCAGCATTGTCCTTGCTCTTCATAACCGTCAGCACACCGTACGTAGACCTCCTCGTCAATTCGGCTGTTTGTAAAGGTGTTTACTGCATCTAATTGTTCAGTATCCAAATCGAAGTAGGCTGTAATAGCCATTAAAGCTGGAAAGGTCTTTGAAGCAAGTGTTGCTGCATACGTCTCATCATGTACTGAATAGTGTTGTAGGTCCCCTCTTACTACAAGTCTAGCCTTGTATTTGACAAGGTAGCCATTATCGTCAAATTTGTAGGTAAATACCCACATTAGTGGAATGACAAAACTCCGTACAGTGCTGTCTGGCATCAATTTAAAGGTGTCTTGCTTCCGAAGGTCTGTTATTTCCTTTTCTGCTGCAGCTTTGAAACCAAGCCTATGAGGGTGGTTTTGAAGCTGGTTCCAATACTTCGGAGCAGCAGGGAGCTCCGTACAATGTATCCTATGTTTCTGGAACTCTGTACCAACGATGAAAGCTTGGTGCTGGCTTATCCTTGCTTCTGAGTGTGCAATGGTTGCACGGTAGACGTTGTGTCTCCGTACGCTGTCTTCTGAACGCTCTGGTGTCATTTCAGGTGTCTGGAGTTGAGGCTCTTCATGTTGGACCTCTATCTCCTTTTGAGGTTCTACCTCTACTGCTTCCTCTTGTTGAAGAGCTGTATCTGTTGTTTCCGCCTCGTACGGAGTTGATGTTTCTTGTAGAGGTTGTAGAGCTGCGCGCTCCTCTTCATATTCCTCTCCTTCCATTTCTAAAAGGTCAGGAAGTTCAATAACCTGGACTGTCTTTTGGAGCTCCAATTCTACAACTGTAGCTTCGTACGATGGATCATACACCTTTGTCTCATCAAAAGTAACGTCCCTGGTTACTATAACCCTCTTAAGATTTGGAACCCATATTCTAAAGATGTTTGTAGAGTTGTAGCCAATAAGATAGCCTATTTGGGCATTCCTCTCTATCCTCTTTAGCTTTGGTTGCTTAAGGAGAAGTGCATAGGCTCTACATCCATAGGCGTGGATATGAGAGAATAAGAGCTTAGTAAGCTCTGGCTTTTGAAGCTGCGATGGTAGGGACTGGAGTAGAAGTCCGTACGGAGTTTCATCATTAATGACAGATGATGGAGACCGGTTTATAAGGTAACCTGCAGTCCGAAATATTTCAGGCCAAATTCCTTGTGGTAGGTTGCCTGCTTCCTTTAAAGCTCGTGAGCGTGTGATTATCATACGGCCTGAACCTTCGATTCCACCATTTGGTTCAGCAGTGTACGGGGGTGTAAGCTGCACTTCGTATCCTTCATCTGCAATCCATGCATCCCATTCATCTCCAAGTGATCTCTCACCATCAAGGAAGAAGATCTTTACCTTATAACCCCATCGTCTCCATACGTAGCTTACAAAGTCCTTAATTGTTTGTAGGACTGAGCCTTGCCTTTTGTGTTTAATGGTGTAGACAGGTTCATGCGGCAGAAATCACACTGTAAGTGTAGGGCCTGTGTGCTACCATCGTACGCTTCTGGCATCTGGATAAGGTCTAGGTGCACCTTCTCATAAGGGATCTGTGACCGTGGTGTAGATCTTCAGGAGATCCTTTTTGTAGCATGGGTAAGGCGGCAGACTTTGCAGTTAGTGTCGTACGAATCCATGTCTGTGACAATAACCCCTTGGGTCTTCTCTTGGAGCTTCCTTATTGCGTTTTGATTAAGGTGGCCCATTCGATTATGCCACTCCTTTGCAGTGCCTGTTAGGTCTTTGCGAGGTCCATATGAGGATAGAACAGTATCTTGGTGCACTTGAGTCGTTGATAGGGCTGCGTTTTGAAGGACTTTTGTATTGTCATTCTTAATATATTCAAGGACCCATTGTCCATGGATAACTGGAGTGTTGCAGAACGGCTTTCATTCGTACGTAAGTCCTTCTGTAGCTGTATTCCAATGGACTCCCTTTTGGATAAATTGTTTTAAGGATGCAACAGAGGTGTGAAATGAGGAAACAAGGGCTGTTTCTTGGAGTGTTATGGTTCGTACGGACTTTGTGTCCTTGTTTCCGTCCTCACATTTCTTTAGGTTGTAGAACCTTGTACGGTTGTTACAGACATGAATTGTAGCTCCATAATCAAGGATTATGCTCCTTGCAAGCTCATAGGTTGAGAGGGTAAGACCTTGAGTGACTTGAAAGGCTGTTGCAAAGGAAACAGGTAGATCCTGGTTCATACGGGGTTGTCCTCCGTTCGCCTTGTCCTGGTCTATTGCCCTTTGAATGCAGTATTGAAAGCCTGGCTTTTCACTTATGTAGACGTCAACTTTAGCTTCAATGTCTCGGTTTGGCTTCCATGACTTCGTACGCTTCGACTTCATGACATATAAGCAGTCCCTCCACTTATGGATAGAGCCACAAGGGCAATCTGTTCGGGGCTCCTTCTTTTTCTTCCCGTTATTCCAACCCTGTTGTCCTTGTTGTAGGTTGTTCGTACGGTTCTGAAGGGTAGCAGATGTCTCATTATCGCCTTCTTGTGTTGCGAAAACTCCATGTTCCCTCCGAGACTTCTGGTCATATCTTGCCTGTCTCTGGTTGATTCAATAGGTCCGTACGACCTCCTCAAACTCATATTCCTTTGTCCCTTTGTTGAGTTTGAATGTCCATGGTCCTCGAAATTCACAGGGTCCTATTGCTTTAAGGAAGTAATATATCTGTAACGCTGACTTCTAAACGATAGAAGACACAGCAGTTTCTTGCGTAAGGTAGACTTGACAGAGGAGGCAGGGGATTAGACACAAAGGCTTTCCAAGTAACACGTTACAGTATTGTAAAGAATACTATATTGAGTTGAGCACGAAGCTCCTATCTAAGGAAATACTATCTACTTATATAGTGGTGTCGTGCCTCATGGGTAATCTGGATAGTTGGCAGATAGCTAGATATTCAGGATAGTTCGTGGATAGCTCAACTATCCAATATCCACTAGTTTCTGCAACTATCCATTAGCCCTGTCACATGGCAGCCTACCCCGCTTGCCCCCTGTGACTCACACATCACGTTAATAGGCCCTGGCCCTGTAACCATAATGTCATGTTACTGTAGCCATAACAATATCGCAACGTGAGGGTCGATGACCTCTGGTGCTCGGAGTGTATGGCCTTGTGTGTAGAGGGTCTCCCATTTTAGGAGCCACTCTTCCAAGGTCTACTCCTCTTTGTATTTTGGATACTTTTGCCCACTCACTCCTCCATTCCTCAAGCCTAGCTCGTGTAGTTGGTGCAAATCGCTCCTTAAGCCTTACTAGCATTTCGTATGGAGTATCACAATTGTATGTGTATGGTAGGAAGTCCCGTCTAATAGTTTCTAATCTTAGACCGTAGCCCCTGAATTGCTTCCTCCTGTTTCTCCCATATTTTTGATCATATTGAAAGTCTGCTTGTAGGTTTCGAAGCTCTTCCTTCTGGTCATCTGTGAGAGATCCATATGTAATTGGTATGATTGGTTGGGAGGCTTCGATTGATGGTTGGGCTGTCTGACTTGATGTTGATCTTGTTGACACCTGTGGAGTAGTCTGAGGAACCACACCACTACCGGCCTGAGCTGTAGTCCGTATGAAGTTAGGAACTGACCTAACAGGTGGTACGAGAATAGGGGGGTCATCTAATGCTGGATTAATATAACTCCACACTCCTGTCTTCATTAAAGCTGTCTTAATCGTCTCTAGCCACTCATCCCAGTCTTTTGGGTTGGTGAGGACCACCTGCACCTTCTGTAGGGTCTGTTACGATGGTCACGGAGGTCAAGAAGCCAGTCCGGAGAATAATAAGCTAGATTGAATCTAAAGAGAGAAGAAGAAGAAGAAGGAAGGAAGGTGAGGCTATTCCTCGTAATATACAGTTGTCCGCTTAGCGGTTGTAGCCTTGGCGGCTAAGGCTGCACCTGTAACAACTGTAACAACTGTAACAACCGTAACAACTGTAACAACCGTAACAACCGTAAGCTATAATCGTAACAGGTCGCCATTATGATTGTGATCGACTCCTAGGAGGTGTTTGAGGTCTGTACGATGTTTGAAGACGTTCAAAATGCGACCTAGATGTTCTCCGGGCTCATAACTGTTGAGTAATAACTGTATGTATTCCTGACTATGTAACCTATACTTGGCTTTAACGATAATCCATACGGAGATCATGTGAGATCATGTGACTATTACAACAGAAGCGGTCTAGCATTGATTAATGTAAATCACGTGATGTTATACATCTTCAACTAATCGCCGTGAATTATATTCCCCCTGACTCGTCAGCCGTCATCATGAATTTTTCAAACACCGTTCTCATCCAGTCCCCAGTCTATATCCCAGTGCTGGATAAATTCAGTTCGTCTCCATCCACCGATGCCATATGGACGTGCAACTCATCGAAGAGCTTGCCAATAGCGAAATTCCCAGACTCCTGCTCTATGCCACATACTCGCGCCCCTCCTAGTGTTGCCATGTAAAAGCATTCTTCGAGGGAGAGACTCTTGTCTTCGCCCTTGGTCATCATATCTCTCGTGTTCGACACTATGAACTCCTGCCACATGGCATCCAAGATGGAGCTCGAGAAGCCACCGCCGCTATCGGTCCAAAGTCCAACCTTGATATCTCGGCGCAGGAACTCGCGGATCGGGGCTGCCATGAAACCTCCACCCACCGTGGTATTGGCAATGGGGCAATGAGCGACTCCACAGTTTAGGGCATCGAGGCGATCCATCTCGTAAGGCGTCATATGGCAGCAGTGTGTGAGGACGGTGCGGTCTGTCAGTAATCCAAAGTAGGCATAGAGGTCTGCTTCATTTTCAAACTCAGGGAATAGCGAGAGCGTCACTGCGATCTCAGACTCGGCTTCATTAAAATGTGTCTGAATGGGAAGACCTGCGTTCTCTGCCGCAATCTTGCCGAGCCCATTGAGAAGCTCTCGCGTACAGGAGATGGCAAAACGGGGGGTGATAATAGGCGTAATCTGCGAAAAGGTCGGATCGCGGCTGCGGACGTGGGAGATGAAGTCCTCTGTCACTCTGAGCGACTCATCAGCGCTGGCGTCGGTGTAGTAGGCTGGGTTATTCTGGCCCGTGTTGCACTTCCCAATGAAGGCACGCTGGCTTTTCTCCACACATATATCCGCTAGGATTTTCGTGGCTCCGCCGTGAAGTGATCCGTAGTAGCATGCTGTGGTGACCCTGTTTGATGGACCCATCGATACTCGATTCATACACCTTTCTGGCATAATCTTTATCCTCAAATTTAGCTTCGTTTGGGAATGTAACTGTGTCCAGCCACTCTAGAATCTGAAGACCTCGTCCAAGACCTCTTTGGGCCCACTGAGGCGCATGGTTGTGCATATCGACAAATCCAGGAATCATGGGTGTCAATTATCCAAGGTGTCAATTCGTACGGATGGGCACTTGTAATGGTGGGTGCACCAGATGTGAGAATCTAGCCACCCAAGGAAGGGATGAATTTACTAAGACAACACACTGTCTTAGGAAACAGAGCCAAAGGGTCGTAGCTTAGACTATTCCACAACGCAGCAATCAGGTGTGTGATGTAGTGAAGTGGTTCAGACAAGTTGCAACAAATGTTGAGTCTGGGAACTCAGGGGTAAGTCAGAGGTTAACACCTCACTGACTTTTCAGAAACAAGGAGTAACAAGATGAATGCTTGGAAGCTTGGAAAAGACGTGGAAGTATGTGATAGCCGATTTACTGTATTGTCTGCTTGCCCTTTCTTAAGGAAAGGGCAATCCTATTTATGCTAAAGGAGTGTAGTTCTCTCATTTTCCATGACTTTCCATGACTAACCAGGCTTGGTAACTGTAGTCGACATAAGAGAATCCCATAGAACCATCTCTTAGTTCGTAGCCTATAGGAAGTAAAAGGAGGTCCAAGGTCAGAGTACCCCTATAGACAAATTATGTCATAGACAAATTACGTCATAACTTAACCAATCTTGTGGGTAACTAAAGAGCGATGACGTGTAATGAATCATAGAGGTTCGTAGGAGCTTTTAGAGCTATCGTTTATGCTCCTAGGCCTCTAGTTGGTAGAGATATGTCATGTGGTAGTATGAGTGATGTCATGAGAGGGTTGTAGAGATATGCTATGTGGTAATATTGGCCCAGTAACTAAGGAGCGATGACGTGTAATGAATCATAGATGGTTGTAGCAATCGTTGAGTAGTATTGCTCTTGTTGTTGGTGTGATAAGCCAAAATATGTATAGTGACTTGTAGGTTTGAGGAGGAGATTTCCAAGTTTGCTCTTGAGTTTGATAGCAAACTGAGTGCAACGAATGTCAGTATGACAGCACTCCCACCGTTCATCATTTCCAAGGCACAGAATCACCTCTCAGCTTGGTATTGTAAGGACACAGGGCACCCAGCTCACAGTAATAGCATATGAGACTGCGAGTCGGAGGCTAAACGGATGCTATCCTATAGGTCTACTACGAAGGATACAAAAAAGATGAAGGGGGAACCCTGTGAGTCATTTCCCTCAAGTACCCGAAACCCCTCCGACTTGGTTAGCCTGCCCAAATGATCACACGTGACCTGCAGCTACTCAGAGTGTGCTCCTTAGAGTGAGAGACAAGAAGGCATCCTTACACTACGCCCCTTCTAAGAGGGTGCTTTGTCCGCAAAGCACGCCATCAGGGTCCATTCCGTAACCTCTCCGTTTCTAAAATGTGTCGGGGTGTGCTTGTGTGCGGAGGTGGCTGTTCGTGAAGGGTACCCTAACACCACCTCGTGGAATGCGACACTGGAGTTGGCTTTGTTTGATCTCACTTCCATCTTCGTGGTCCGAAGGGGCCCCGGGAAGTATCCGCTAATCGTTTGAGTCGAACCTTCAGAAACGTGAAAGGGGGAGTGGTTGCGCTAGCCCAATTCAGAATTTATTGTTGTAAGCCAATATTTGAGTACTCCGCTTCGCCCACTTTCTCTTGTTTGTTTCCTTTCAACAACAACGCCAGCGAACGCCGATCCGAGACTGGTAAGTGGCCCCCTCCATTCATATATCTGTATACTTATTGATTGTTTTAGAATATACAATTCCACATGAACGAGGTGACGGAAACGCGCTCGGCGCGCGGGTGATTAATGTGGGCTCGACTGACGGGATTATAGATCCCAACTTGAAGATGCCAGTCCCGCCTCCTGCCGGAGCCTTGTCAGTCACTTTCTGCATCCTCTGTTTGCGTTGCCTTCGGGCCAAAGCTCGGGGACTCCAGGCGCATGCCTGCGTCTGGTCTCCCTCGTCGTCGAAGTGCGAGTACTGCACTGGCCAGCACTCTCCCTGCATCTCGGTGCATTTCCTTGTGGTGTTCGGTTGGTTGGTTGTGGCTGACTATCGGGTGGATAGCTGCCCTGGTTCCTGGATGAGGAGTACCGTGCCCTCGTCGCCGCCGAAGCGGCCCTCCCTGTCATCGCCGCCAACGTCGTCGCTGCTGCCACGGAGGCAAATCGGGTGGCCCTTGTACCTGCCCAGAGCGTTCCGAAGTTCTGCTCTGCGGCAGAGCGAGACTCCTACGATTAGGCCCACGCCACGCGCGCCGCCATCGAGGCAGGGTTCACCGTGAGTATGCCCCTTCTCTCGTGCTGTTTCAGTGCTGACTCGGTGTAGCAAATCCGGTCGTCTCTGCGTCGTCTTCGGACGGAGCAGGGGGGCGTGCCGGCTCTCCTGGAGGAAGTGGTGGCGGCTGTGGGCAAGCTGCCTGCGGTCACTGCCACTGCCGCAACAGTTCCGGTCCGTGCTGGTCGGAGGAAGGAGGGGGAGGGGGAGGGGGAGGGCACCTTTGGTGGGGAGTATGGGGAGTGAGGGGGGGGGGAAGCTGTGTGGGAGGGGGCTCGGACCCGACTCTTCGTGTGGGGTCACTTCGACCCTTCGTCTCTCATGGTGGTAGCCGCTTGTTGTGACGCCGGTGAGACGTTTGGGAAGGGTGGCTCCCGTAAGGGTTATGGTGGTGAGTGCGCCCTGGATCAGAGGGTAGTTAGAGTCATAGATAGCAACGACTCTGTTTCTTCCACTTTGTCCTCCCTCCCGTGATCGTAGTTTTGTTCCTCACCTGCCTTCCCTGCCGAAACCCATCCGAGTAGTTCTTGAGGTGGACCTGGTAAATCTGGGTATTCCGTATGAAACTCTCTGAGTTTATGGGGAGAGTTCATGAAGTTCGATGCTGGGTACCACTCCGGGTCCGGATCATATCCTACCCAACTAACCCGGTATTGTAGTTGCTTCTGGTGGAGCCTTACAGCGAGGAACTTTCCCACTTCCCATTCCTCTATGCCGTCTATCAATTCGCTGCTAGGCTGCAGTGGATCCTGACCAGGTAGGGGGTTGTTCGGATCCTTCATGATGACGTCTGGTGAGAACACATGGTGTATTTGAGAACTGGTAGGTAGTTCCAATCGAAACGCGTGCCCAATCCGTTCCAACACCGTATATGGTCTGACCCATTGTTGGCCCAACTTGCAGCTAGGACGAGAGTTTTTCAAATTTTTGGTTGATAGGTACACTCTATCTCCTACGTCCCAGTCGATGGCCCTTCTGCGTCGATTCGCGTCCTTAGACATTTCCTCTTGTGCCTTTGCCATGTTTTCCTTTGCATGGACCCATGCGGTATGCATTCGGTCTGCAACCGCCTTGGCTTCCTCTCAGTTTAGGGTCTCCTGGGGGTTGGTGCTTTTCGGAGTGTTCCAATCCCAACACGTACGCAGATCGGTTCCGTACTTGAGTCGGTAGGGGGTCATGCCAATGGATGCGTGGGGGAGTGTCATTTTGTTACAGCTATAGTAACATGATGTCATGGTTACAGGGCCAGGGCCTAGTAACGTGATGTGTGAGTCACAGTGGGAAGCGGGGTAGGCTGCCATGTGACGGGGCTAATGGATAGTTGCAGAAACTAGTGGATATTGGATAGTTGAGCTATCCACGAACTATCCTGAATATCTAGCTATCCACCAACTATCCAGATTATCCATGAGGCACGACGCCACTATATAAGTAGATAGTATTTCCTTAGATAGGAGCTTCGTGCTCAACTCAATATAGTATTCTTTACAATACTGTAAGGTGTTACTTGGAAAGCCTTTGTGTCTAATCCCCTGCCTCCTCTGTCAAGTCAACCTTATGCAAGAAACCTCTGTGTCTTCTATTGTTTAGAAGTCAGCGTTACACATTTGCACGCGGTCCATTATGGGGATGAGTTCATACTCCAGTTATCCTGGTAATGAGATACAAAAGGGCTCAGTCTCTGATCGATGTATCAGTTCATAATTTCCGTCTGTCCGTTGGTCTGCTTATATAGGCAGTCGACAGCTTAACCTTAATGCTGATAATTCGACAGAACTCCTGCCAAAAAGATGATATGAATTGGGGTCCGCGGTCGCTTACAATCAACTCCAGAGTGTGTCCGAATCGGTATATCCATTCGATGAACAATTGTGCCATTTGCCGGGCAGTTGTGGTTTTGTAGCAAGGTATGGTCACCGAACTCTTTCTGAGTCGGTCCATAAACACTAAGAAGCTGTCGTATCTGTGCTTGTCCCTTGGGAACTCCTTGAAGTCCATGGTGAGGTGTTGCATAGGATATTCGGGTACGGGCAGCAGGTGTAGGAATCCTTGTTGCTTGGTGACATTGGTATGAGAAAGCTGACATGTCACACAATTCCTCACATAACGCAAACAATCCGCTTCCATCCCGACCCAATGGTACTTCAGGGCAATCAATTGATAGGTTTTCCGGCCGCTAGGATGTGCCACCGACACCTGGTCGTGCGCTTCTCGGATTAGTTTTGTACATAGCTCAGTGTGACGGTTCACACATAGCCAGCCTTTGTATAGAAGAAGACGGCCGTTCAACGCGAACCCGTCAGGTAGGGGGTGTTTCGCATGTGTTTCTGTAAACGACTCTCTGTTGTCCTCACATAAAGCCTCTATTAAATCGAAAGGCATCTGGGGCTTGGGGATGTCCATCGAATTAATGGATGCTATGTAGCTCTCGGCGAGTTCAGCGCTGTTTCAGGGGTGCAGGCGGCTTGGACCTAACAATACCCTCGCCCTACTATCAAGCTTGACTTTCTGCTGCGTTACCAAGACTTGGTCTCTTCGGCTCAGAATATCTACCTTCTGGTTATTCTTGCCCGCAGTGTACATAATGCAGAAGTTGAAGTCGGAGAGTAGTTCCATCCACCGAACCTGCTTCGCGGTGAGAACCTTGGTAGACATGAAATATTCCAGCGAACGGTGGTCAGTGTAAACGTCAACTCGGTGGCGCACCGAAGCCAACTCGGGTCTCCATTTTCCGAAGGCCTTTACTATTGCGAATAGTTCCTTGTCCTGGATCTCCCAGTTAATCTCGTGTCCGGATAGGACATGACTGTAGAAGCTTACGGGGTACCACCACGTGTTCTTGGGAGAGGACACCAGCTATGACTCCATCGGAGGAATCTGTCTCCAGCTTTGTAGGCAATTTGGGGTTGAAGTGGTGAAATGCCTGTACTGCTAGGAGTTGCCGGCGAAATTCCTCAAAAGCAGCCTCACATTCATCTGTCCATCGGAACGGCTCCGAGGGACTAGTGATGGTGGTGAGGGGCTTTGCTATTTTGCCAAAATTGCGAATGAATTGTCTATAGAAGCCACAGAATCCCAGGTAGGACTTCACACCCGTAACAGTGGTCGGACAGATCCAGTTACGAAGGGGTTCAATTTTGTCGGGGTCCGCTTCGACACCGGAGGTAGTGAGAACGTAACCCAAGTATTTTGTCCTGGTGACGTTGAACTCACATTTACTCAAATCAGAGACAATTGAAAATGGTAATGAGCACCTAGCAATGTAGGAGTATCAAAGTCAGCATCTCGTCGCCGTTTATAAGGATTACGAAGTCCATTTTGTAGAGCACTAGAGATACTCATTTGCATGTTCTTGACTTGTGACTGTTTCTGCGTATCTGTCACTTGGTGTAAATCCATCAAGTGTTTCACTGGTGCCGCAGTACCACCTGATTCTCTATACTGCTTTGTACAATATGAACATTGCCACATTAAGTGCCCATTTTGTTGGTATGTTGCTGAAGGATTCCTATCATGTTGCCAAATCCATGAAGTTCGTCTATGACACCCTGATTTGATGTAACTAACAGTACTATAGTACTATTAGAATCTAGTTGTGAGGAGAGTGACAATTCAGTATCATCTTGAAAAACATCGCTATTAATGAGTGATAAGGCGCTCGACTCTGCATTTGTTAAAGGCATTGACGTTGAATTGTTAATAGTACTATTAAAGCAGAGTTTTCAAATACCCCTATATTATAGGTGACATAGTTATCTTCGTCTCATTTACTATCATGTGTGTAATACTTAGTCATATAGGTCTTGGCAATATATTGCCATATATTGCCATATATTGCCATATGATATTGCCGTATTGTATTACAGTCATATGGCGTAAGGCCATATTGTATTGCCAAGGCCCATATTGCAATATATATTGCAATATACTGCCAAGACCAATATACTATTGGCAACACTGTCTAAGACTGCGATTTCTATAACTTTGACAAGACGGGCTTTATGATGGGCGTTATTAGCTTAGCTTTAGTTGTTACACGCACCGATCGATGTGGCAGAGGCAAGGCAGTTCAGCCTAGCAACCGGGAATGGGCTATAGCAATTGTTTGTGTAAATGCTAAAGGCAGGAGTATCCCTCCGTTTTTGGTAGTACAAGGGAAGTGTTACCTTGCAAGTTGGTACACTAAAGGCAGCCTTCCTGATAATTGGGCAATTAAAGCTACTAGCAATGGATGGACTAACAATGAGACAGGTCTAGAATAGCTACAGCACTTTAATACACATACTTGTGGCTCTGCAAAAGTGCCATATCAGATGCTAGTACTAGATGGGCATGAGAGTCATGAATCGGCCGAATTTCAGGACTATTACAAGAAGCACAACATTATTAGTCTCTGCCTCCCCCCTCACTCTTCTCATTTAACCTAGCCACTTGACGTTAGGTGTTTTAGTGTTCTTAAACGGATGTACGGACGGCAAATCGAAACCTTTATCAAAGCCCGTATAAACCACATTACCAAGGTCGAGTTCTTTCTAGCATTCCACGCTACATACAAGCAGTTAATTACACCCGAAAATGTGAAAGCTGGATTCCGCGGAGCTAGCCTTGTGCCTTTTACTCCTAATGCAGTATTATCGAAGCTAGATGTCAAGTTACGGACGCCTACACCTACAGGTCCCCCCTCTGCTAATGCCAACCCTTGGGTCTCTTAAACGCCTCGCAACCCAACAGATGCTCTCTCGCACACTACTCTAGTTAAAAGTCGTATTGTGGGTCATCAAGGAAGCTCGCCAACCCCAATTTTTGCTACTGTTACTGCGTTAGCAAAAGGGACAGAGATCTTAGCACATGAGATGACTTTATTGTCAGCTGAGGTCTACACCCTTCGCGTAGCAAATGAGGCCCTTAGCAAACGCCTGAGGGCTATAAAGACTCGTGTCCGTCAAGGAGGTGTACTTACTGTAGGGGATGCACAAGATCTTTTGGTACAGAGGGACGTAGATGAGCAGGTGCGACGCGACTTGCAGAGGGTGGGGCAATCGTCTGGACGGCACTGTAGCACTTGTGGAAAAGCTGGCCATAATGCGAGAACTTGTCAGGAGGATGTAGAAGTACTTAATTTATCAGATTCCGAATCATTTTAGTTTTAATACATAGTTGTGGTTATTTAATTATATTTTGAGGTAGTGGGGTGGGGAAAAGTGATCGACTCGGTGTACAACCACGTTATATGAATACCCATTAAATAAATACAGGGTTTATTATTGATATATAGCTAACCCTTTCTGATTTCCAAGTGAACGTAGCGGGTAACTGTGCAATTTTTATCCCAGCCAGTCACGGAGTTGCCTACATAAAAGTGCACATAAAAGCGCTTTATAAAATTATAGCGCCAGGCAGTCCATTTATATCCCTCGCTGATATGCCAACCTGCCAATCTCTAACTAAACCACAGCCCATTCTCCTTGCCATCACTACAATCAACATCTAAACCTGATCGGCATTTCATCACTTCATCCCACGCCCCATCTCAAGTTCGGCCATCCTCGCAATAAGCGCAGCTCCAATCCCACTCCCATCCTTCGCAATCCCAATTCGTATCCTCCTACCCCCCTCAACCCCGATCTCATCCACGTCGCGGAGGGCGCTGTGGATGGAGGAGATGAAGCCGGGGCAAAATTCGATTATAGAGCCATCGACGCCGATATCTATGATTCCCTCATTTTGGACTACAGGGTGCGTTGGCGGAGTTTGCGGTTTCGATGGGGGGAGGTCGGATTCTGGGGTTATCAAATCTGGGCTAGGGGCACAGAAGACACGCCGGAGGAGAGAGCGAAGGCGGCGGTAGGGCGATATATCGAGTTTTGGTTTCGGGTGAACGTCTGAAATGGCCTCATCACTCTCGGTCTCCACAGCTTTGAGGCTGATTGGAAGTGGCGCGTTCCCGTCTACAACACTTAGTGGTGAAGTTGGCGGCGTAGATACATCCGCTAGACGCCCAGAGTTGACCACAATAGCTGCAATAGCAACACCTGCCAACCTAGCTGCGCGTTTGTTGATAGCCAGCACGAGCTTTTTCACCGCCTCTGCGTCCTCTCGAGTAGCATCCAAGTTGAGCATCCTCTTCAGCTCGCTTCTGACAATATCAAGCCTCAGGGATTCGTCGCTGGCTGCCGAGGAGAGGAAGGTCGTGCTGATACTGTAGCGGCTGTGGATCGGCGAATCGGGCGGTATGACCATCGTCTCGCTGTACGGTGCAATGGCCAGTAGGGCGTGGCGCAGCGTTTCACCCAGAAAGAGTCCAGATACGCGCTTTTCAAACATCTGGATCCCAGGATGAACGGACTCGCGATCGACGGCTACATCATAAGGGGTGTTGGGGAGAATGAAAAGTTCAGGGTCGAAGGAACCCCATTCCGTGTTTAAGATCATATCCCCCGACGGAATAGGCGCAGCGCTACCGTCGGCTTGAGCGGGGAGCATTTTGGTGATATTAGCGAGCTTCTCAACATACGCGCCATTCGTGCCCGTGCCAAAAATGGCGCCGAGCAGGGTAGTCGTTGCGCCAGGGGATTGATACGAGCGGGCTACCAGAGTGCCGACAGTGTCATTTACGAGGGCGGCCACGAGGACAGGGACATTCAGTGCCTCAAGCTCGTCCTGGAGAAGGCCACAAAGCTCCTGGCCAATTGCGTCCGGGATGTTGAAGCCTTTCGTCCAGTAGAGGAGGGTGCCTCTGTTGAGCGCGAGCTGCTTGAAGGCAAAACTAAAGGTGAAGCCGAGCTTAAGTAAGCCGTCCCGGGACGTCTCCGTCTTGCGTGCACGATGGGCGTGGAGGAGATCATTATTGTAGGTTTGGAGGAAGAGCTCGATCTGCTGGGCGAGGAAGTGGAGGAGTTCTCGGAATGTCGCAGCGTGCATTAGCTCGGGCGGTATGGCCGTCTTAGATTGCACAGTAGTGAGCTTGGTGTCGCCATGTAGGTCAACAGAACAGACGCGGACGTTGGTTCCTCCAAGATCAAGAGCAAGATAGAGTCCCTGTTGCCATCGTTAGCAACCGCCTTGTGATGCGCACAGGTTGGCATACCTTTTCGGTGCCATCAGGTACCGTGGTAACATAAGTAGGGATCTGCGCCATAGCACCCCCATCAGCACCGAGGCCCTCATCTGGATACTTTGTTAGCCAAGACCGCTACCACGTGCTCTCTTGTGGGTTTGGTCACCAGAAAACGCGTAGTTCAACAAAAATACTAACGCATCTGACGTATGAAATGCTTCACTGCCTCCCTGACATGATCTCCGTCGTACTCGAACTCCGCAGCGACGCGATCCGCATGGTCATGGATTGACATGACGCTGAGCTGTAGATATCATGGGCACTTTAGGAGCAGAATATCCAACGTGCGGTTATTATATGAGATGAAGGGACGAGCCCTACAACACCAAATCGAGAATCCATGGCAACACAAGGCAACTTTGATGAGGTTACAGAAAGCGGGGCAATTGTTGGACAGCCAGCTATCACATTGTATATTTTGACGCCGAAGGCGTTGAGTGTAGGGGTTTCAAGGCGGCGTGTTGATTCTTCTGGTATCCCTCGGCAAAGCCGGAACTATAACGCCGACTTCGCCGACACATTATAAGCACGTTCCCCTGCCATATCCCCCATAAACATCCACACTCTTCTCCGCGTTCCACATACCTCCACATAAGCTTCAATTTACCCAGAACTTTCGGTATTATTGCGGATTCCGCCTTCGTGTTGGAGCTAGGCGGCCGGTAATGCGAGGATACCTATCCCTTTCGCCAATATGAGTTCGGACGATGGAGTGGTGCAAATTCCGGCCTTTAAGATGACCAAAGCCTGCGGTAAGCTCATAGAATCCCTGGGGCCGATTGCCTATTGATGTCGGCTCGAAGCAATATAATCTTATTGAGCCTGTACGCTTTACTAATGCGGGGTGCAGTGAAATGCCGGGGATTGAAGGTGACTTTATATTCCAATCCGTTCACGTTGACCTACACTTCATCGTTGGTCTCCTCCTGTGCTGTATCATATCGTCATTATTGTCATATTGAACCAGTCACTGAACTATCCCACAGCTGAAGTGCAAGGTTGACCAAGGACCTTCCTGTCGGAGGTGCTTGCGGACTGGCGTTCCATGCGTCTTTAGACCAAGAGCAAACGTATAGCCACTCCTTCTGTGTACCCACGGCATTCCCAAGACTGATTGTGACAAAGGCCTCATCGACGCGCGAAGTTTTGCTCTCAGAAGGCTCGCCTAATGCTGTTAGATGGACAAACCAGACGCTACACTCGGTATTGAACCGCCTTGATATTATCGAGTCGCGCCTCGATCTGGACTCCGCACCTGATTCGATCGTTGAGCAGGAGCAAAATATGCTACAGATAGGCACGAGAGATCCAGCGCTCAGCGAGGTGTGGAATGCTGCGACCCAGCTCAGACAGAAGACGCATCATCCAGTCAACGAAAAGATATGGCTCCCAACAAATATTCAGCAGTTATGGCAATTGTGAGCTTCCTCCTGTTCCAGCAATGGTATGATGCGCATCTAACCGCGTAGCTTTCATATAAATATTCCGAGCCTCCACTTCCTTCCCAATAAGCAAAACTTTTCCTCCCCAACACCCCTACTTCTATCTGCGATGTTGTACATCTCGGCTCTGAACCACGGCACTCGAGACCTCGCCTGCCTGGCCCCGGATTACTTCCTAGTTATGTGTCGAGCCATTGCCGAGTTGAGCATTCCCTCTCCAACGACAGAACTGGTCGCAGATAAGCCGTCATTTAAGTCGGAAGAGAATGCATTCCATGATGTCCTTGGCATAGTACTCGGTGGACTCGCGTGCGAAGCTTCAATAAAGACAACAGGGATATGGATATCTGTTGGCTATCGTCTTATATTGGAGTCGTGCCCCAAGGAAGTCGATGAGAGGTCGCGAGAGTGGCAGAGGCTTTTTGCTGGACTCCAAGTACGTTATGACTTTATTGTGATTGTCAACTATCACATACTGACAGCATTAGATCATCGACCTTGAGCACGCATCTCTCCATATGTCATGTCCCATAATTCCACTACAAGCGCCCCTAGCTCGCCTGCACATTTCATCCGAAGATGACATCTACTCTCTCACTCAGATGTTGCATACGGGCTTGACGCATTTTACTGGTCGGGGACTTCCAACTATATGGTCGTGTTTCTCGTCACCCCAGGAAAGGCCAATGTTAACAGCCTCTCTTACTGCCGTGGATGCGGCTATAATTCGCGACTGGGCTGTTCAACTCGACAGATGGCTTGCGAGATTCAACAAACCAGGCCGTAAGTGCGCGATTTTATAATACATTTGTACTACTCTTACAGGTCTATAGGGCACTTCACGTCTGAGTGCGATCGTAGAGTTGTATTCCGCCAATATATCCTCCACAGATTGCTGGTATTGTCCATCTATCACCCCGCTCGGGGATTCAATCTCTTCGCGACATCTACTACTTCGTCTGAGCGGCACGAATTGTTAGTTTCAACACGTGCCGCACTGAAGATGCAATTCGATGACAAAAGCATATGGACCAATTGGGATCTAGTGGTAAGTCCCAGCATGGATTTTTGGCAGAGCTTCGCTGATGAAACAGATGATTACATGGGCTGCATTGATAGTACTCCAAGCTATATCCGGAGGAGTTGGCGAAGCGGACGGTAAGCATCCCATACTGTCCTGTCTTGACTGTGCTTAACACTTCAGTAGATATTCCCCTCGTACAGGACCTCTTACACACCCTCCGCGCAACCCAACAACTGCCAGTAAACTTCCGCCATCAGCTTGCTGCGCAGCTCGAAGCTAGCTTGCATAACACGTCTATACAGCCTGTGATGAGCTCTGATTTTGTGCCTCCTACCGTCGATGATCATCTGGCATGGTCGATTTTTGACGACATGAGCATTCGCTTTGTAGATCAGAGGATGTGATAACAGTAGTAGTAGCACTTGGAACATCGCCTTGCGCTTGCTAGCTATTTTGTAGATGTTGTTCTCAATTTATATGTTCTCAATTTATATATGTGGCGCAACCACGAATAAGTTGTATTCGCGAATGGGCCAGCCCAACCACGAATAGTATAGTAGAGTACTATAGGTCAATATTCAATCTAACTGCTATTACCAATAGTGTCTGATCTTGCCCGCTTCCGCTTCCGCTTTAGCTATTGTTTGTCTGACCCACGCTAGGCGTAAATGTCTTCCCGATTCCAGGGTTTTGGTGCCAAGGGCAGTGTGCGGCGAATCACCTCCCGAATACGATTCGGCGATTTGGTGATTCATTCATATTTTTGAGGTATTCGCCGAATCATGACTCGAATCTAATTCGACTCATGATTCGAATCTTTGAGGCTTAAATAGAGTGTATAGAATATTGAAAACTATGGAAAATATTTAACTATGCCTAACCTATATCTTCACTTGCATCTTCGACATCCTCATCTTCGACATCCTCATCGTCGACAATTATCCCCCAATCCCGTAGACATAGTAAATATCTAATTGTTGAAGGCAATAGTCTATTCCTTTTCTTTGTGACAATGTCAGCTCCTTGGCTAAAGACCCGTTCTGATGCTGCTGATGTTGCTGGAATTGCTAAATAGTCTCGAGCTATTTGTGCAATTATTGGATACTGATACTGCTTTGCTTGCCAATATTTAAGGATATTAGTCTCAGGCTTATCAACTCCTAGCTCATTAAGCCACCGTCTCCATTCAACCTCTTGAAGTATAGGCTTTTGATGCTTAAACATCTCATCCTCAGAGTCCACTTCTTGAGGTATATCCTCATCCTCGTTATCAAACATAGCATCCATTTCCTCTCCTCTGCTCGAATATCATTGTCCCGTGCTTTATAATTGTTATAACAAGCTGCAAACTATGCTCTTGCTCGTTCTTTGCTTGTGTTCTAAAAGCTTTCAGGCAAATAGAAGTCAAATATACTAAAATTAAACCGAGGATCACATATTGTTGGAACTGTTGAATGGCTTGACCATTGGCTTGTTGCAAGTGAGAAATAGTCGTCTAATTTGTTGAATGCAGCAGTACAAGCTTTGTTGATACATGTATGCTTAACAGTCTTCTTAATCTTCTTAATTTTATCCATTAGCCGTAGATAATATGGAACACAGTAGTTAAGTGTTGGATACCCATCTGCTTGCACCTTTTCTGAGATACGCTTAAAAATCTCAAAGAACTATGCAAGAGCATGAAGTAATTCCCATTCTTTCGAAGAAATCTGGATATCACGCATGCTTATATCAAGAGTCTGTGATGCACAAAGCGCCGTGATTGGCGCCTCCATTGACAATGCATTTTGTGTTTAGTTCCATCGTACTGGCATATCAATTGCAAGAGTAACAGGCTTGATTCCAGTGGCTATAGCATGAGAACGAACACTATCCTTCCACCCTCGATGATTCCTAAACACATAGATGTGCTTGCGGAGCTTTGTTAAAGCGTTAACAACTTCTTCTTTTTTGGAATAGATAGCATTAATGTCATACTGACATTTGTTGCACTCAGTTTGCTATCAAACTCAAGAGCAAACTTAGAAATCTCCTCCTCAAACCTACAAGTCACTATACATATTTTGGCTTATCACACCAACAACAAGAGCAATACTACTCAACGATTGCTACCTCTATGATTCATTACACGTCATTGCTCCTTAGTTACTGGGCCGATATGACCACATAGCATATCTCTACAACCCTCTATGATTCATTACATGACATCACTCATTAGTTACTGGGCTAATACTACACATGACATATCTCTATCAACTAGAGGCCTAGAAACATAAACGATAGCTCTATAAACCTCTATGATTCATTACACGTCATCGCTCCTTAGTTACCCACAAGATTGGTTAAGTTATGACATAATTTGTCTATAGGGGTACTCTGACCTTGGACCTCCTTTCACTTCCTATAGGCTAGAAACCTAGGAGATGGTATGGGATTCTCTTACATCGACTACAGTTACCAAGCCTGGTTAGTCATGGAAAGTCTTGGAAAATGAGAGAACTACACTCCTTTAGCATAAATAGGATTGCCCTTTCCTTAAGAAAGGGCAAGCAGACAATACAGTAAATTGACTATCACTTACTTCCACGTCTTTTCCAAGCTTCCAAGCATTGATCTTGTTACTCCTTGTTTCTGAAAAGTCAGTGAGGTGCTAACCTCTGAATATCCCTGAGTTCTCAGACTCAACATTTGTTACAACTTGTCTAAACCACTCCACTACATCATACACCTGATTGCTGCGTTGTAGAATAGTCTAAGCTACGACCCTTTGGCTCTTTTTCCTAAGACAGTGTGTTGTCTTAGTAAAATCATCCCTTCCTTGGGTGGCTAGATTCTCACCTCTGGTGCACCCACCATTACAATTAATCTGAGTATAAGCTAAACCCTCTTGAACTCGATAGCTCTCAAGCTCTTCTGATGGTACAGCTTTCATCGTCATAAGAGCTGCTTGAACAGCTAGATTTATAATATGTGCCATACATCATACATCGCCATCTTTAACAGTAAAGCTCCATGGCTGATTTGTTGTTGTTGGAGCATCTGCTGCTCTTCGTTCGTATTGGTTGAGCATTGCTGCATTATTTGATGCATTGTCTCTTGTGATAGTAAAGACTCCATGTGTAATTTTGAAATCATCTGTAACTGAGAGTAATTGCTGAGCTAGGTATTAGCCAGAATGAATAGGTTCAAGTAGATTTATCACATCTAGGATTTTTGAATGTTGGACCCAATATTTTGATATCCAGTGTACGGTAACAGCAGCATGATCTGTTCCATTTATAGCACTCCAAGCATCAGTTGTAAGTATAATCGCCCACCTGCTTTAAAATATGATTCTGTAGTTCTAGTTGTAGCTGCCTGTTACGGCTAAGTGCTAGTGCTATGGCTAGCACTTACGGCTGCAACCTCACGTGATGGATAACATTGGATATCATGGATATTATGTTATCCATGTTATCCACAGCGATCCACGGAATTGTTACAGCTACAGTAACATGATGTCATGGTTACAGGGCCAGGGCCTAGTAGCGTGACATGTGAGTCACAGTGGGAAGCGGGGTAGGCTGCCATGTGACAGGGCTAATGGATAGTTGCAGAAACTAGTGGATATTGGATAGTTGAGCTATCCACGAACTATCCTGAATATCTAGCTATCCGCCAACTATCCAGATTACCCATGAGGCACGACGCCACTATATAAGTAGATAGTATTTCCTTAGATAGGAGCTTCGTGCTCAACTCAATATAGTATTCTTTACAATACTGTAAGGTGTTACTTGGAAAGCCTTTGTGTCTAATCCCCTGCCTCCTCTGTCAAGTCAACCTTACGCAAGAAACCTCTGTGTCTTCTATTGTTTAGAAGTCAGCATTACAGGAATGTCATGTGATGGATAACATTGGATATCTTGGATATTATGTTATCCATGTTATCCATGGGGATCCACAGAATATCAGGTGATGGATAACATTGGATATCATGGATATTATGTTATCCATGTTATCCACGGATATCCCTTGGTGTAAGGACACAGGGCACCCAGCTCACAGTAATAGCATATGAGAGTACGAGTCGGAGGCTAAACGGATGCTATCCTATAGGTCTACTACAAAGGATACAAAAAAGATGATGAGGAACCCCGTTGGGTCCATCCACTTAAGTACCTGAAACGGGTCTGACTCGGCTAACCTGCCCTAACTCTTCCCACGTGACCATAACCTGCCCGACTCCAATCCTTTCCATCACTGAGGGTGGAGGCATCCTTACACTTGGGCACGATGCCACTATATAAGTAGATAGTATTTCCTTAGATAGGAGCTTCATGCTCAACTCAATATAGTATTCTTTACAATACTGTAACATGTTACTTGGAAAGCCTTTGTGTTTAATCCCCTACCTCCTCTGTCAAGTCAACCTTATGCAAGAAACCTCTGTATCTTCTATCGTTTAGAAGTCAGCGTTACACTGGAGTTGTACCATGAGGATTTGGCTTGTAGAATCTAGACAAAGATGCACGGTTCTGAGGGCCGATATTGTCTTGATTCTAAAGTTTTCGAGCAGATTTTGAAGACGCTTCAAAGATAGTTGGATGCTTTAGCTCAATATGTCTTCATAAATTGCTTGTTGTATTTTGCGATACTGGTTTAGCTTCAGGCATATATGAACAGCCTTCTTGTGTACAAGCATATTGCATCTTATTAGGAGAGCCTCTTAAGATAGTACGAGAATATAGATTCTTTGTAAACAGAGCAGAATGAGTGACTGGTAGGTGTAGTGTTGTGGTACTGCTTTGTGGTAATGATGGTGAAGACGATGAGAATACGCCATCATTACTGTTATCTTCATAAATAACATGACGTCAAGATCCTCAGGGGCGTCAGACAACTCGGAATCACTCATAATGATGATAATTGTAATGATTGAATGTATTAAATTGTTGAAGGAGGAGGTTGCTCAGACTGATTGGTTGGGCGTGTTGGGCGTGTGGCTCGCCAACCGAATCGGGTTGCGGACCACCCACAAATAGTTCTGTAGATAGCTTCACTCAAAACAACAATACAACACATATTCTAGTGAACTGTTGTTCAACTCAACTTGATGACTTATACTACCGCTGCAAGTGATATCATACACTTCAACATAAATGTCAATCTAAAAAGCTATATATTGAGGACGACAGTAAGGCTAGACGCTTAGACATCTTAGACATCTTGGCAAGTATTCAGATCATTCAAATACTTGCCGAATCATGATTAGAATCATCAAGAAATAGCCTGAATCAGATCATGAATCGAATCTGATTCGGGGTGAATCATGCTGAATCACGATTCGCTGCACACTGATTGGCTATAAGACATAATATTTGAATATATCACGATTATATTATTTCAAAGAAAATAAAACAACTGAATATTTCCTAGGAAATATATCTATCCTATTGAATTTACTTCGTTATAATATCTTAAATTACTTATGGAGTATATTTTAATAGCAAGTTTCAGTAATATGGGTCTTTGAGAACAAGAGCCAATTATGGTAATATTTATAGTAAGCTATAGAACCATAGCATTAGAAGTAGTGGATTGAGCTACCTGGACTATTCTAAAAGTATGACTAGATCTACATATTGTAGAATTTGGCAAGAAGCTCGTCTGATTCCTTAGTAGGAGGTAACATAGCCAACTTCTCGTCAGATGGCAAGACCCATTTGAAATCCACTGGCTCATCCTTCTCCCTCAGCATCTCCCAAGCCTTAAATGCACCAGTAGCATCTTCATCCAATTGAAATCCATGCTGAGTAGTGTCGTACCCATCAGGGTACCAATCAGCAGGTCCGGGAAGAGAAACCTGCCCATCCTCAAAGTTCCATGACGCGAAGTTCCTCCAGACAGCTAATTGAAGCTTCGTGAAATATAGGTGAGGAGGGATCTTCTCGTAGTAGATTCTGTACGTATGTGTTAGCTGATTACTATAGTAATTACTATAGTGACTCTTACCCAGTCTGCTCATCAATTGCTGGGGGAAGGTTTTTGAGGAAGTCGAGATCCGTATTGACTTTGTTCATGAGCTTCAGAGTTGACTTGTATGCCGTCGACCATTTGCGGCGCCAAATGGTGAAGGCAAGCTGCTCCACTCTCTGGGTCTATGTTGAGGCTTCAGTCTGGGTCTCCACTTCCAGTTGGACCTTCTCAATCTCTTTAATCCCAATACCATTGGCCAACTCGTCAGCTCTCCACATAGCTTCCTGGGCAACTTCATCATCCTCATCTTCAGTTTCCCAGGCATGGTTGTTGTCATCCCACACTGCGTACGCTCCTCCACCTTCTCCAATCCCAAGGTGTTGTTGAACAATAGAAGCATGGTTGCCATCCTGAATGCTATTTCCTGGTTACTATAATGATTACTATAACGTAGGAGAAGGGAGCTTACCGTCAGAGTCGCACCTCGTCCTTCTTAGACTGAACCTTCTCTTGTTGTTCAACTGGGCTAAGGTCTTTGAAAGCTTGTGTCTCCCGGATTTTCTTGATAGCGTATGCAGTAGCCGCTGTATCAGCCCTCTTTGCATTGTCGACCTTGAGTTCTTGTTCTGTCATGTTGTTGCGGCGGTTCTGTACACTCTTGGTGTTCTCGTTGGTCGACTTCTCGGTTGATTCTTTGCGCTTTCTGACCATGGTGGGTGATGGGTGATTACTATAATGGTTACTATAAAGTAATTGATGGTAGGAGGGAGTAAAGACTTACCTTGGTGGTGGAGGGTGGGTGGGTGGACAGAAGAAGGCGACTGTGGTGGTAGAAGCTCGGAAATCCAGAAGAAGGAAGCTCGGGGTGGTAGCAGAAGTAGGAAGCTCGGAATGGTGGCAGAAGCTCAGAAATCCAGAAGTAGGAAGCTCGGAAATCCAGAAGAAGGAAGCTCGGGGTGGTAGCAGAAGTAGGAAGCTCGGGGTGGTGGCAGAAGTAGGAAGTTTGGGGTGGTGGCAGAAGCTTAGGATTCCTATTGTTGTTGTGTATTGTTATGGTAGAATTCACTTAATAGGCCTATTACCATATAATGGGTGAAGCTCAAGATATTTCACCAAGCGAGCCAGCAGTTCACCCAGAACACAACACCCACCCAAATTTGGGTTTTCCTCCCTCAACCTTTCAGTTATTATGTGACAAGCCACTCACGGGTGGACTGGTAAGTGAATCACTCCTCTTATATTATAGTAATACTTATAGTAACACCTCGTCAGGGCAATATGGATGACGAGCCCTATGACGACGCGGACCCTGTGACTTCAAGTTCAGATTCTGAAACGGCACAAGACGGTACTAGTGGTCCTAAGTTCATGGGTCGCCCTCGCCTTCCAACTACACCAACGCGCTCTAGCCAGCGTCAACCACAACTTCAATCACCTCTCCAACCCAGCCTAAGGCTTTCCGAGGCCCAATCCCAACTCTTGCACCAGGCCAAGTACTGAGCCAGAAAGAACTCAAGATATCCAGCATGGCTCGCCAGAAACAAGTTCGCCAGAATACGGCCAGCAAAGCCCCAAGGAAGGCACCAGTGGGTGGGAAGACTGTGATGAAGGCGAAGAAGCGTCGTTCCAAGCCAGGCAGTAGGTTAATTACTATACTTATTACTATAAAGCTCTTACTGACATCAAATAGTTGTTGCACTTCGTCAAATCAAGCGGTACCAGAAAACAACAGAGCTACTCATTCCCCGTGCGCCATTCGTCCGCCTCATCAAAGAGATCATGGTTGACCTGAAATCGCCCTATCGAATCCAAGCGACTGCAGTTTCTGCACTACAAGAAGCAGCTGAGACCACTTTGGTCAAGGAGTTTGAGAGTAAGTGAACATCCATTTTATAGTAATCATTATAGTAATCATTACAGTGACGCAACTTGCTGCGATCCACACAAAGCGTGTTACCATTCAGCAGAAGGACATGAAACTGGTGCAATCAATGAGGCTCCATATGATGGGGTTCCGGTTCCCAGGTCAGCTACTTTGAGTAAGGAACGGAGGAACCAATACTGGGGGAAGTAGATACCAAATATATTCGTTTACTACACTAAATATAACGTACATGTATAGCGAAAGCGCCAAACAAGCGAAAGCGCCAACATTATCTACCCTCACGACAAACATTGCGATAAATCTACCACAACATTAGAAATCAATTGAAACTACTCGGAGTCCTCTTCCTCAGAGGTGTCTATTACAATCTGACACGTGCGCGCATTGTGCCCAGTCTCACCACACTTGCCACAGCGACGGGCACGGGTTTCTTCCCTTGGCTTCCGACCACGGCTTGCCCTTATTTCCTGCTCTACCTGCTGCACAACATCCCTCTCATCCTGTAGCTCTTGCGCCCCTTGTTGACTAAGTGATCCTCCTTGCTGTAGTCGTGTTTTCCTAGCTCTCCGGCGCTTGCTTAGTACTTCATTTGCCTGTCGTAGGTTTTGGTTCTCTCCCTTTAGCAGTGCTAATTGATGCATTATTTGCGATGCACCCTTTGTAAACTGGTCAACAGCTGCATAGATTGAGGTTGGAGAGCTATTTTGATGGCGTGAAATCCGAGTTTTAATAAATGTAGACTGTGACATAGCTTCAATTGGGTTGTTTGGTGTCTGAGAAACCCAAGGTTGAGCAGTACCTAAGTTGGAGGCGTTGGTGTCCTTAACTTAAGATCAAGTGTAGATATCACTCTCTCAGGGTCAAATGGAAGAAGCCCTGCCCCTCGGAACCCGCCTCAAATGTTACTTTCCGTCATTGTAGTGTTAAATGCAGCGTGGAAGGCAGGAAAGAAGTCATCCTTTGTAATATGAGAAATATGAGCCTGCATCATATCTTCAATTTGCCGACCATAGGCCTGCTTTAACGGGCCGAAACAGCCAACATCAAGTGGCTGGAGTAGATGAGAAGAGTGAGCAGGCATACAAAGCGTAATAATGTTGTGTTCCTTGCAGTACTCCTCAAACTCATCTGAGTGGTGGCTCTCATGACCATCAAGGACTAACAAGCGATAACCACCAACACTCCGGGCCTTTGTATGCTTCTCAAAGTGCTGAATCCAATCCATGCCTCTCTCGTTTGTAGTCCAGCCATTTTCAGTAACAGAAATCACCCAATCGCTTGAAAATCCACTATTCTCATACCAAGATGTAAGGTGGTTTTTGCCTGCAACAATGATAAATGGTGGTACTGCCCAACCTTGAGAACTAACGCCTTGGATTACTGTAACCCATTCCCGATTACCAGGCTGTACCTTCTTTGCTTTTGCCCGCCCGTCTGAGCTTGTTACAACCATAGCAGTTGAGATAACGCCCATCATAAACCCAGTCTCATCAAAGTTGTAGATATCTGCTTCATCGATACCATATTTCGCAATTGTGTTACGCACAAGCTCAAACCAGCCATTAATAACTTCTGGATCTTCGCACTTAGCCCTCTGGTAGTCGTATTTGCGCTGAAAGCGTGTCTGGAGCTCTACACGCCGCTTAACAAAGTTTGAAGCCCAACGTGACCCAACGCGTGACGCGTCGCGTGTTGCAAGTAGTCGACTTGCCATATCTTCAACAACAGACAGCCGAGGAGGAAACCCTTTGGCAGCTAGGTCGAGTATATACTGAACAAGGACGGACTCCTCTAGGTTAGTTAATTTCCGTGAGTTGGCTTGGATATCGCGTCGTGAAGGTACACCTTCTAGACGACGACCTAGCTTGCGGTGGTCCACAGAATAGATCCTAGCAGCAACTCGAAGGCGTAACTTTGGGTCGCTTTGCATAGCCTGGATAGCTAGCACTAATTGGCTTTCATCGTTTTTATGGGGCATGTTTTGTTGTTGAGGAATTTAACATTTAGTTGGGGGGTTTGGTCACCGCATCATTTTGGCGCTTTCGCTTGTTTGGCGCTTTCGCTATACATGTACGTTATCTGTCTGTGAAGTTATCGTAGATTTGAATATACGCACGTGACAGATTGCACGTGTTGGTTTGCCAAGGAACTGTTGGGGGACCGCACCGGTCTGGTCGGTTTTTCCAATATTTCCAGACCAGACCGCGGTCCGGTCTGGAAATGTTCCGAACCGACGGTTCCGAATCGACGGTCCCCCGTGGCGCACACTAGCTGAGGCCGAGAACGTTTGTCGACCGTTGGAACGGAGTGACTTGGAACTGAAGCCGAACAATCATTCTCGTTCCTTCCTCAGCACGAATCTTCCAATAGACAGGAAAATCAACGCATCACTGACAAGTTTCCCAGGAGGCTGTTAGCTATCTTTACCAAGTCAAAGCCCAATTCGTCGATCAGCCGGATATCTATAATATGTTCCTCTACCTCTTGAAAGATTATGAGAGTAAAGTGTGAGTCTTCTGGTCAATCATGCCGACTTCATTATGATCGCATTTTCATACTAACATAATGCCTAACCAGAATTGACATTCCTAGCCTCATTAACCCTACATCAGAATTGTTTGCTGGACATCCGAGCCTCGTACGAAGATTTAGTACATTCTTGCCTCAGGGATACCAAATTGAATGCAGCGCTAGCAATGATCCAAATACCATCTGCGCCACTGACTGTTCTGTCGCAAATAACGCATCAACGCCGACACAAACTGCACAAGGTGCCAGTATCAATGGTGCTGCGCCTCAGCAGCCAGATGCTTCGAAAGATGATAAGTCATTGGACTTTTCGACGGCGATGGGCCCATGGAGCACGAGCATGCCAGCCCCTCAAATGCTCGCCATATTAATACAGCCGCCAGAACTCACTCGGCAGAAAATAGAACTGTTTCCCCCCATCGTGGTACAGCTGTTGCAGCCCGAGGACATGCCAAACGCCTGGGCTATCGCGACGCTGCTCAGCAATGGCACAGATGTTACAGATCAGCTCGGAGGAGAACTTATTCAGTCTCCCATTGACGGAGCCTTTCGTTTCCCTGGGCTGTCGGTTCATGGAGAAGGAGTATATTGCGTCAGGATATGCCTATATCAAATGGATTCCGACTCTTGTCCTAAAGGTGTTGCTCAGGTCGGGTGTGTGGATAGCAATGATATCATTATAGCACCTCGACCTGACTTCGTGGCAATCAGTCGATCCATTGGGGATGTTACAACTGCTCAAGTCTCAGCATGGCCGCGCCTTCGAGAACTAGAGATTGTGATAATGTTTTGATCCGCAATTGCCAGCGTCAATTGACTTGAATACACTATCGTATTGCTCGAACTGAGGACGAGCACCAATGTGAGGAGTTGGAGGGATAAGCACCATCAAAGTAGTTACTGTAACGTAACAGGCTTATGTATTCATTATCTATAGATCTAGAAGCATAACTTGGGTTTGCAGCTTTGCTTGCTGGCAACATATAAAGCGGGAGATAATTCAAAAATAACAGAAGAGTTCCAAGTTTCAAACCATCTTAACCAGGGTAACATATTTCGCGACTGAGATTAAACTATGAACATAGTGGTTTCGTAAACGAAGAGAAGCTATGAACTATTCTTGAAGACCGTTTTTATAGTAACTACGACAATCATGGATAATAAACAAATTAATTGATTACACGGGGGGCGTCGAGTTTGAGAATGCTTCAGCCCATCTCGTCTTCACTTGCTTCAGTCCCCAGGCATGTTAACCAAACCCTAGGCTCTAAAAACCATCTATTTAGAGATTTGAAGCCTACGCACATTATCCCAGCCATTTAGGAACTCAACGACGCCTAGATGATGATTCCATAAGGCTTCCGCCATCGCAGTATTACCCTCATCATTTATATGGTTGCTATCGACGCGCCCTCTCTGGAGCAGTACCTTCACCACAGCCTCATGGCCTCCCCTAGCTGCAAAAAGAAGCAGAGTTGAGCCGTAGTTATCTTTTTAGTTGGGGTCTACGCCCTCTGTGGCTAGAAGGAGCTTGACAATGGCCTCATTCCCGTTTATAGATGCGGTAGTAAGGGCAGTCTGGCCCTTATTGTTCCTAGAACTAGGATTGACCCCCTAGTAGCTAGAAGGAGCTTCACCATGTCCAAATTGCCTTTCCAGGCCGCCCATGCGAGAGGTGAATTGCCATCGTTATCCGTCATACCGATGTCGACCCTCCCGGTTCCTATAAGGAGGTTTACGACCTCCCTATGAGACTTGCCGATGGCGAACCAAAGCGGAGACTGTCCGTCGACGTCCCTAGAGTCTGCATTGACCCCCTCAATGTTAAGCAAGAGCTCCACAACACCCACGTGGCCAGCCTCAGCGGCAAGAGAGAGCGCCGATCGGCCATAATTATCGATGGGGTCAGGGTTGATTCCGCTGACCGAAAGTAGTAACTTCACAACGCTTGTGTTTCCCATAACGGAGGATAGTGACAAGGTGGTTTGGCCGTGATCGTCCTTCTCGTTCGGATCTGCTCTCTCTGATGCGAGGACCAGCTCCAGTCCGACTCCCGGCCTGCTTTCGCCGCTACCGACGGTGGCCCTCGACCGTCGACTCCTCGGGGAACGTGAACGCCATCACTACTGTGATAGCTTTCTTTATGGTCTGAACATTGCCATTTTCCGAGGCCCAAATTAGTGCAACTGGTTTCTTGCCACAGGCGTCCTGCCGATAATGAATTGGTTCATAGACTTGTCTACACTTTCGACTAGCGGACAGTAAAGTAACTCTGTCTCTAGCTGAGACGTATGCAGAGATGATGTAGAGGATTTCTTCAGGAAGGTCGAGGAGCGTCATTGTCGTTGGGCAATTAGCATGACGCGGTTCTACCTTGCTCGATTCTGGGCGTCACGATGCGGAAGTAAGCGAATTCTGAAGGACTGTCATCGGGCTATAATTCGCCCGTCCTATGCTGACAGTAAATTGACATAGAGAAAAAGCAATGCTTCATTATTAGTAGATTTTGCTGCCATCCTATAACATTAGGCATCTGAGTTTCAAGTTTCCATAAACAGAAGTCACAAAGTTGTCTCGTTCAGCGACCGCTTCCGACAGGGATGCCCAATTTTCTTGAGTCAATGATCGTATGCGAGGGTTACTAAGTTGGTGTGCCACTTATACGATAACAAGGGTAGGGGGTAAACAATACGAGAGCGACTTGGAGAGCAGACGTGGCGGATACGAGACTCTCAATGATTTGCGCACAAAACAAAGTAGATTAAGCATTCCAGTCATAGTACGCTCCCTAAAGAACCCGGTCTCACTCCCTCTTCTCATCCCTCCCCGTAACCTCCGCTACATGGTTCTCCTCCCTCGCCTTCAAAATCTTCGCCGTATACTCCTTCCCAGCCACGAACCACCACGCCGTCTCCAGCACAAGGAACCCTCCAACACAGGCACATGTGTAGTTCATATTTTGCGCTACTTCGTATCAGTATTGTAATCTATCACTTGAACCAGGGGAAACATTGGGGGGAGGTTCGCATACCAGAAACAGGCTTCACGTAGGGAAACGAGAAGAATACAATCGCAAATATGAGCCACGCGACGGTTATGATATTGACCGTCATCCCGACGGCATAGCTCATATGGAAGGTGCCACGGTGTATGGTAGTTCGCCGCATCAGCACGTTGGTGAGGATTGGTACTAGGTACGCAAGGTTGTTGATCGTGACGGCCGATCCGAGGAGGGCATTGAAAGCCGTCGATGAGCCGAGATACAAACACCCGAGGATCGCGATTATAGCCGTGACGGCAAGCTGGGCATTTAAGGGAATGCGGAGGGTGGGGTGGACTTTAGAACAGCTGGGAAGATTTGTAGTGGATTGCGGAGTAAGATGGGAGTTGTGAGTCTTACGTGGAAGAGAAGGGAAGGGCGCCGTCGCGTGAGAAGGCCCAGAAGATTCGCCCAGTGCCTATGAGAGAAATTTATCAGCTTGGGACGTGGAAGTTAGGACGCCGGAGGCATACTTAGTTGAGAGCCGACCATGCAGGGCCCAATGGCGATCCACAGCATGAACGTCAGTGCGAAAGCACCACCGACTGACTGGGTTGCCTGCAGGAAGAGTTCCGCAAGCGGGAGGCCGGTGGAAGTGGTAGCTAGCGCCGAGTAATCCTGGACGGAGAACATGAGAGTGATGAGATATGTCAAGCCAGTCACAAAGGCGATGGCGAGGGTGATGGCTGTAATTGTCTATTGTTAGCAAACATCTCATATTATACAATGGGAATGTACGTACCAATAGCAAGAGGTGCGTTTCGCGAAGGCTACACAAAAGTCAGCTCTGAGCCCAGAAAACACGCAATTGAAGAGGGTGGCTCGTACATTTGGCATCTCCTCGGTGATATGAGAAATCCCGTCCAACCCGCCAAGACTGTACAGTGGATTCACCAACCCCGTAATGAAGCAAATCACATTCGACTCCCATCCCGTATTGTTTATCCACGTCCTGAAGACAAACTCGGTATCCCGATGAGACGGCGCTGTAGCAGCCACCGTGACCATGATCACGAACCAAGCGAGCTGGAGGTAGAAAACTAGACACCACATTAACACCTAACCAGAGCCAGTTTAAACAGCAAAGGACTCACGAGAAAATCGGTTGAGGCCGGGGATGGCCTTGTTGCCAAACATAACGATCGATGCCGTCGCCAAGTTCAAGACCTGGTACACAACAAAGGTCATCCAGGCCTTGATCACGAGATCTCTATGGTACAATGCAATCAATGCCATGAAATTCTGCGAGTAAATCAGATTCGTCGACGCGGCCGTGAAGATCCCTGATTCGCGTCAGCTCGCCATCCACCCCTGAAAATCAATGCTCAAACTCACATCCGAAGACAGTGCACCAGCCCGTGACGAAGCTGAGGTAGCCGGTCATCCTCCGTGGGGCGATGGCGGCAATCCAATGGTACATGGCACCCTCAGTTGGGTAGGAGGAGACGAACTCGGCGAGCGACGCGCCCAAGAAGGATTGCAGAATCCAGACGAGGATAAAGCCATAGATAACTATCTCGAGTAAGCCTGGGCCCCAATAAATAGACCTGCGTTTACAACTCACCGGCTCCTGGGCCTCCAGCGGAAATCTCAGTGACCAGCCCGAGTCCGAGACCTAGATGCAGGGTTAGCCTGGTCGCGTGGCACCGAGTCACCTGAGCGTATTTACACACCTGTCCATGAGATGGTCGTCGTCGACGCGAGGCCGATGAGACTAAAAATTCCAAAGTGACGATCCAATTCTTGTTTGTGACCTTTGCGGATGGGAGTCAGCTACTTGTGCTCCATTATTTGATTGACAACATAAATAATTACCCATCTGTGCCAGTCTCAGCTCGTCGGCGTCGACTGGCTTCTCACCACCACTAACGGCATCGTCTGTCGCCACGATGGACGCGATAACTTGTTTTTCCTCACTCATGCTTGCTATGCTGTTAGTTGGTAATGAATCCAAGAGCTATGGCTCTGCCAATAGATATTATAACAAGGCCAAGCGACAAGACGGAGGGATCAGCGTATTTTGATATCAAGCCTTCCCCGCACCGAGTAGTTTCCCAAGATAAGACTTGGGTTCGGTAATGAAACATAGTAGGGCTTTTCGCGTTTGCGACTCGTGGCGCAAGGGGGGAGCACGCGCGCAACATGCTGCTGGCCGGCACTGCACCCGAAGAAGGATGGAGATAGGGAGGGATAAAGGAGAACAGTACTTGAGCACCGTACAATATAATACCACGAAGTTTAATCCTATAGGAAGGAGATACCGCGTGAGCCACGGCATCTGGAGTCGAGTCCAGTGAGGAGGGGAGGAGCAGCACAAACAAACTCTGGGGCCGGTTCTCGGCGTTGACGTCGGCATTGATAGCGGCGAAGTTTAAGGGGAATACCGAAGGAGATGTTTACCGATGATCATCACTTGCATATCATATCCATATTAGGAAACTGCGAACCTCAATGCCTCGGTGATATTTCCGAGAGGTATCGGCAAAGTCGGTGAGGCGGAGGCCGGCGAAACTAAGGTCCGTGCTGACAAGGTTTAAGCTTGGAGCTCAAAGGGACGCTACCCGACGCTAACAGACGGTTATAGTAAGATCCGTCAACGACGCTAAAATTATCCCCACTATCCACAAACATCACGGAAAATCACCAATGTCATTCATGGACATCAACAGATCAACAGCTACGGATGGAATATCAACGTCAACCGCCACGCTATTGTCAAAGATGCAAGAAGCTGTTGTATTTTTTCGTCCGAAGTGCAGCATCATTGTTTTTCCTGTAATTATGCCCAATGCTACTCTGATGGTATGGTGGTGGCATGCTGAAGCACTACAGTATGCACATAAGTACAGTAGTTCAACATGGGGGTCCCAGCTGGGCCTGTCAGGCAAAACACCCAGTGGTCACCCCGCTCTAGGACGGGACGATTGTCGTCATGGCCGAACGCGAATATAAAGTTCAACCTGTAACCCTGATGGCACAAGGAGAGAATATTCCCAGAGCGGCATCTGGATTGCGGAAGCACCGAGCCCAACACAAGGAACCAATTCCTCGACAACGGCTCTTCATTGAATCGAGGCATTATGCGTATGCTCTCGCTATATCTTGGCGTAGTCGCTGCCATTGCTCAGGTAGTCACTTCTTCACCAGCTCGCCTCGATGATGGGCCTCTAGTAAAGACTGCCGGCGATGCTGCTGCCATTAAGGGCTGGTATATGCAGTCGACGGCGAAGACTTCCAGTGACATGCTTGCTGTGTCACAGCCTGGCTTTGACGTGAGCTCCTGGTACCGTGTTGGTAGCCGTGGAACTGTCATGGTATGTGTAGACAGCAACTAGATACTCCCAGGCGTATCAACAACATTGAATACCGTTGACTCAACACAGGCCGGGCTCCTCGAGAACAATGTCTACAATGACAAAGATCTGTTTTTTTCCGAGAACTTGAAGACTATGGTAGACCGTTCCCAGTTCGACGTACCTTGGCTCTACCGCGAAGAGCTCACCTTCGACCCGGCGACTAACCAGCGATACTTCCTCGAGACGCACGGAATATCCTCTAAGGCAGACCTCTACCTGAACGGGAAACAGCTTGCCTCCAAGGAAACTCTCACGGGCGCGTATGGTGGCGAGAAATTCGACATTACCCAGTATCTGCTGAAGGGAAAGAACGCTGTCCTAATCGGCGCATATCCAACCAATTATCTCAAGGATTTTGCCCTAGGTTACGTTGATTGGAACCCATACCCACCGGACAATGGGACGGGTGTCTGGCGTGAAGTTTTTGTATCACAGACCGGCCCAGTGTCACTATTGAAGCCCCGCGTTGTGACTGACTACAAAGGCAAAGCCGTCAGCAGCGTAACAGCTACTATCAAGATTGTCGTCAAGAACAGCGGGACCAAATCGGTCCAGGGGACGCTTAAAGGTTCAATCACAGAACCTAGTGGCGCAACAATTCCCGTCTCCGCTTCTTACACTCTCAATGCCAACGAAAGCAAGACAGTCACACTGACAGCCAAGATCAACAACCCTCAGATCTGGTGGCCGAAAACATGGGGTGCGCAACCGCTCTATTCGCTCAATCTTGCCGCCTATATCGGATCAGAGGTCTCCGACCGCGCTGCCCAACGCACGTTCGGCGTCCGCTATGTGACCTCCTCCCTCAACTCCCACGAAGACCGTGCCTTTGCGGTGAACGGAAACCCTTTTCTTGTTACCGGGGCCGGATACTCCGCTGAGGTGTTCCTGCGTTTCGACCCAGCCAAGCTTGTGCAGCAGTTCGAGTATATCCTCGATATGGGCCAGAATACCGTGCGTCTCGAGGGAAAGCAGGAGCACCCTGAGCTCTATGATATCGCCGACCGCATGGGTATCATGGTGCTCGCTGGGTGGGAGTGCTGTGATAAGTGGGAGGGTTGGAGTTATAACGATGAGGCGAATGGGATTAAATGGGTTGACGCTGATTATGTTACTGCGGAAAATCAGATGGAGCATGAGGCGTATATGATGCAAGGTCATGCTAGCTTGCTCGGTTTCCTTGTGGGCAGTGACTTCTGGCCTGATGAGCGCGCATCGCCTATCTATGTCAACAAGCTGAACGAGCTTGATTGGGATGTTCCTATCATTGCTTCTGCGTCTCTCAGAGGATTTCCAAAGAACTTGGGTTCCTCTGGTATGAAGATGGGTATGTCCTCACATCTACTTACCAAATTTCACCCCCTCTCCTACTAACTAAACCCGACAGACGGCCCATACGACTGGGTTCCCCCAAATTACTGGTACGACAGCCAATATGGTGCCGCCTTTGGTTTCGGATCCGAACTTGGCTCCGGAGTTGGCACCCCCGAGCTCTCCTCCCTCAAAAAGTTCCTCACCGCGTCCGACATGAACGACCTCTGGACCGCTCCCAACAAAGGTCTTTATCACATGTCAACCATCGACTCCTCCTTCTACAACCGCAAAATCTACAACGACGCCCTTTACGCCCGCTACGGCGCCCCCACCTCCCTCGATGACTACCTCCTCAAGGCCCAAGCCATGGACTATGAAGCCACGCGCGCCGAATTCGAAGGCTACTCCGCGCTCCAGAGTGCCAGCCGCCCCTCCACGGGTATCATCTACTGGATGCTCAATAACGCCTGGCCCAGTCTCCACTGGAACCTGTTCGACTACTATCTCAAGCCTGCTGGGTCGTACTTCGGCGCGAAAGTCGGCGGAAGGGCGGAGCACGTTGCGTTCGGATATGGCAGCGCGAAGGGCGATGTGTGGCTTATTAACCACACGATTGATAAGAAGGGGTCAAGGACCATTAAAGTTGACTTATTGAGCAAAGATGGCAAGACCTTGGTTTTGCGCTCGGTGGACACGACAACAACGCCCAACCACTCGCAGAAAGTCGCGACAATCCCAGAAGCAACAACTCTCAAGGAGGCTGCCTTCCTGCGCCTTGTGCTGAGTGATGCCGAAGGCAGAATGCTGAGCAGGAACGTGTATTGGCTCTCGCCCAAGGTGGATAAATTGGACTGGAAAAGCTCGGACTGGTTCTACACCCCCGTCACGGAGTTCGCGAGTTACAAGTCACTCGCGACAATCAAGCCGGCGCAATTGACCGCCTCGTCAGGGAAGGCGGCTGTGGTGGATGGGAAGGTGAAGGTGGACGTCACGCTGGTGAATAAGGCGGCTGTGGCGGCGTATTTTGTGCGCCTTGAGCTGAGGGATGGGAAGGGCGAGGATATCCTACCAGTGGTGTGGTCAGATAACTATGTTACGCTATGGCCGGGTGAAAAGGTGGTGTTGAGTGTTAGTTGGGCGGCTGGAGAGGCGAAGAGTGGGCAGGGGAAGGTTGATATTTCGGGGATTAATGTCAAGGGTGTTGAGGCGGTGGCCGTGAAGTGGTAGGACTTGTTGATAGGGGAAACTTCCTGCTCTTAGAGTGGGCACTATTGGATATGAAAATGATGAACACCTTTCTTTACATTCCGCAACATGTGCTTGAATTAAACCAGCATCCCCGTCCATACAATCATGCACCCATCCGCAAAATACTGCGTATCAATACGTCGCCTCCCACTCCATGTCAGCAATTCCATCCTCAGCAGACGCTCCAGACCAGAAACCAACTAAATCAAGACCTCTCACCTTCGCAAATCTCGCCGCTTGTCCAATCCCCATATTCATCGCAATCCACATCAAGCACTCCTGCAAGTACTCCCGCATCTCCTCTCCAACAGTCCCCACCCTCGACGTCAAAAACAGAGGATGCATCAGCAGTAGCCCAGCTACCGCTCTCCCTAGCTTCAATCTGGCTCCACTCCCCCGTCAATAAAGGACCTCAGGTCATCAGTCAGGTGGTACGGTATACTCGCCACTCTATCCTCGATTAGTCGTGCCGCCTCACTGCGCTCGCGGGCGTGGTCTTCTCCGTCGTTGAGCGCGTCGGAGAGGGCGAGAATAAGGTCTAAGACGAGCAGTCTTGCAGCGCGCGAGGTGTTCCACACACCTGAGATGTAGTGGTTAAATTAAGTGTCTACCCTCCCTGGCCACGCCCCAGCTTGCGCAGCTGATCCATGACAAAGCGCGGGAGTGTGGCCTAGTAGGTGAGGGTTGAGAATATCAGGTTGTGTAGCTTGCCAGTGCGCGAACTGGTTGGAGAGGGATATGGCATCTGCTTTTAATATGGCGAGGTCTGTGGTAGGGGGGGTGGGAGAAGAAAGGACGTTGTAGGCCTTGTTGTAGAGAGGGCTGAAGTCGTGGAGGAGAGTTGAGAGGGGGTGCGGAGTGGTGGGTTGTGAGATTACCTGGAGAACTCCCTTTTTGACTGATAGGTGGCTGGAGCCGATGAAGTGCACGGCGCCAAATAAGTCTAGTGGCGAGTTTTCGATTTTTAGAATCGCGGCTACGCCTCGGGCATGTGTGTTGTGGTTACCAGCGTGGGATTCGCCAGCGACTATCATCTATATCCGGTTAGCTACTCCATTCAATTGGTGGGATGCGCTACAAATGAACCTCATAAAGCCCAAGTAGCATGGCAATCATCAGTGCCTCAGGCGTCTCCGTAAAATCCAGGTACTCTATTGCAATCCACAGCGCCCCGAGCAGTTCTTCGTATGCTTCCTCAGCCCGCGGGGACCGTCACCAAAATTGGCTGGGTTTTGGTCCGTGCTGGGGCTGGTGGATGGAAGGGGCTCGGCGGATAGCATATCCAAACCTCCAAAAGATGGCTCTTAATATCTTATCAATACTGCAATGAGTGCTGAGCCTGAACGTTTATTCTCAGGAGCGAAGATTACAATTACAGATTGAAGAAATCGTTTAGGGGTTGACACTATTGAGCATTTAGAATGTTTAAAGTCATGGCTAAATCTTTCAATCCATTCTTGGATTGATAATGATGAGTAGTACTATAAGTAGTACTATTACTATTTCACTTATAAGTTGTAATTGTTACATTGAATAGTACCGTAGTACTATTACTATTTCACTTATAAGTTGTAATTGTTACATTGAATAGTACTATAGTACTATAAACTTCTTCTACGTAACAGTCTCTGATCCTAGTCTACCTCCTCTACACTCTGACGAGCACGAGGAGCTGACCTTGGAGGAATGATGAACAAATCATCATCCCCATTAGGAAGGATAGGAGCCAAGAGGTCAGGATCCCCAACTCGAGACTCTCTCTCATAACCACGAAGGGCTTCAGCTAAGTCATCTAATGAGCCAGCGTCAGTGCCAAGGACATCACGCCTAATCCAAAGGATTAAGGCAATCTCCCGAGCAATAAGGCGGCGACGCCCAGCCTGAAGCCACTCATCCTCAGCCTCACGATAAGTGTGACATAACACTCTATCTCCCTCACCAGTGTCATACTGACATTCGTTGCACTCAGTTTGCTATCAAACTCAAGGGCAAACTTAGAAATCTGATCCTCAAACCTACAAGTCACCATACATATCTTGGCTTATCACACCAACAACAAGAGCAATACTACTCAACGATTGCTGCAAACTCTTCTACTACATCTGTGTAAAGATGCCTCCTTACCTAGATACTCGAAGAACCTGCCTCAGAGCTGTTACGGTAACTACAAGCATGAAATCCGACTCGGTGTGGTTTCGAACCAGTAGAGGAGCACATAGCGAGTTACGGCATGGGGGACGGTAAGGGTGTAGGGTTCAGGGTCGATACCGACCTGTTGCGGTGGAAGGTTCAGGGCTAGGGTTGGGACAACCAAGTCGGGCCCGTTTCAGGTACTTAAGGAAACAGACTCAACGGGGTTCCCCTTCATCTTTTTTGTATCACTCGTAGTAGACCTATAGGATAGCATCCGTTTAGCCTCCGACTCGCACTCTCATATGCTATTACTGTGAGCTGGGTGCCCTGTATCCTTACAATCTGTTTTATGCTACATACATCACGGCATATCATTTGGACACTTATTGAACAAGTTATTAAGAAAATATCCTCCTTAAGGGGGTGGGCCAATACTACCACATGGCATATCTCTACCAACTAGAGGCCTAGGAACATGAACGATAGCTCCAAAAGCTTCTACAACCCTCTATGATTCATTACTCTGACCTTGGACCTCCTTTTCACTTCCTATAGGCTAGGAACCCAAGAGATGGTTCTATGGGATTCTCTTACATTCACTACATGATTAGCAAGCTAGTTGTGGGTCGCACTTGATTTCTAATACATTTACCAAGCCTGGTTAGTCATGGAAAGTCATGGAAAATGAGAGAACTACACTCCTTTGGCATAAATAGGATTGCCCTTTCCTTAAGAAAGGGCAAGCAGACAATACAGTAAATCGACTAGCACATACTTCTACATCTTTTACAAGCTTCCAAGCATTTATCTTGTTATTCTTTGTTTCTGAAAAGTCAGTGAGGTGCTAACCTCTGACTTATCCCTGAGTTCTCAGACTCAACATTTGTACAACTTGTCTAAACCACTCCACTACATCATACACTTGATTGCTGCGTTGTGGAATAGTCTAAGCTACAACCCTTTGGCTCTGTTTCCTAAGACAGTGTGTTGTCTTAGTAAATATCATCCCCTTCCTTGGGTGGCTAGATTCTCACATCTGGTGCACCCACCATTACAACCAGCTCCAGCCTTCGTTTGCCTAGCTACTATACTCTTCTGTAGGACCCACTCCACCTCCCCCCCTTCTCTCTCATCTCCCCCTTCTCTCTCATCTCCTTCTTCTCTCTTGTCTTTCACACTTGCTGGGCCCCACACTGGCGAGGCAGCACCTATGTGTAAGGACACAGGGCACCCAGCTCACAGTAATAGCATATGATAGTACGAGTTGGAGGCTAAACGGATGCTATCCTATAGGTCTACTACGAAGGATACAAAAAAGATGAAGAGAGGAACCCCCGTTGGGTCAATCTCCTTAAGTACCCGAAACGGGTCCGACTCGGCTAACCTGCCTTCACCCTCACCACGTGACCGTGACTTGTCCGACTCAGATACCTTCCGTCACTGAGGGAGAGGAACCCCCATTGGGTCAATCTCCTCAAGTACCCGAAACGGGTCCGACTCGGCTAACCTGCCTTTACTCTTATCATGTGACCGTAACCTGCCTGACTCAGATCCTTTCCGTCACTGAGGGATAGACATCCTTACACTATGTAGTTGCTTGATGAGAGCGACTAGCAGCAGTGTCATGAGACGCGACATGAGAAGCAGCATTGCTAAGGAAAGAGCACTATCCTATGCCTGTAAAGTGGGCACAGTTGGTGCAGCGGCCATCAGGATGGACAATGATGTTGACAGCGCAACAAGCAAACTCATGCTTTATAGTGCCTTTCATACAGCGAGACCAAACAGCAATGGTGACAACAGCGCGAGGATGAGCCATTTCAGCTAAAGCTTGACTCTTTCTAGAGCCTTTGAGTTGTTGGAAATCAGCCAAAGGAATATCAGGAGGGCCTTCTAGTACCTGTGGCTGTGCCATCACAGCAGAAAACTTTGATGGCGGTGCCATATTTCCCTATTTCTAAGTTAGTATATAATGTGGAGGTGTAGGAAGCTTAGTATTACGATGGGGCTGTAGGGAGTAATCGTAATCCTTAATCTTGTTGATGAGAGAAGCCATAAGGGCGTTCTCTCAAATCTCTATATCTAGGATCTAGACTACGATCTCGCTACGCTTCACATGACTGATACCACATGACTTGACTTCAATATATAATATAAAATAGTAAATTAATAATACTATAGATAACGTACATGTATAACGAGTCGGCCACCCAAGAGTCGGCCACTTTCCACTGACCACCTATATATTATATAAATCAATTCAACTACAACGCCTTAAATCAATTAAAACTACTCAGAATCGCCATCTTCAGACGTCTCCCAAACTACCTGCGAATTATGACCAGTTTGGCTGCAGTTGCCACAACGCCGAGTACGTAGCTGAGCCCGCTCTGTAGAACTACCCTCCCTACGTGTATTTTCTCTCCTAGCATCAACTATGGTTGCCTATATGCCTCTGGCTGGTAGCCGTAATTGGCAAAGAACGGTGAGACTTTCGTTGCTTCTGTCATCGCGCTGTTATATGCAAACTATGCGATGGGTAAGATCTGAACCCAGTTATCCTGTTGATGATTGACATAGCTTCGCAGGTACTGTTCAAGGGTCTGATTTAATCTTTCTGTTTGGCCGTCTGTCTGGGGATGAAAAGTTGTTGATAGCTTATGATTTGTTCCCAGTAGCGCCATCAATGATTTCCAGAATTTCGAAGTAAAGAGCTTGTCTCTATCTGAGATGATTTCTTCTGGCATCCCATGATCGGCTAATATGACTCGAATGAAGGTATATGCGAGCGCCTCGGCGTCGCTAGCTTCTAGATATGGTATAAACTTCCCATATTTCGTGAGTCTTTCCGTGATGACGAGGATAGAGTCATATTCTATTCCTGTTAACGGGTCCTTGGAGGGTGGAAGCTTGACGACGAAGTCCAAAGCTATTGATTTCCACGCTCCTTTTGGTACTGGTGTCGACTTGAGTTGTCCGTATGGCAGATGCCTATTGGATTTTGACTTGCTGCAAATGTCGCACTCTCTTACCACTGTCTCTACCTGCTTCCTCATACCTGGGAAGTAGTAGTGTCGGGTGATTCGTTCGAAGGTTCGTGTTACTCCCTGATGACCGTGTGCTGGTAACGAGTGTTGTTCTTGCACCAGCGGGCGTCTCATTTGACTTGGGACATACACTAACCCTTTGTATCGAATCAATCCTTGTTCGTCGATGGCGAAGTCGCCTTCGACTTTGGACAAGACTCGCTTGGCGCATTCATCTGTTGCGTAAGCTTTCTTGAGTCTTTCCTCGAGTTCTGTATCTTCGATGACTGAGATCGTCGCTAGTAACTCGTTGTACTGTATTCCTGCATCTGTTTTCTTCAGAATTGCTCTAGGTCTTTCTTTCTTTGGGCCGGCGTAGTCGGTCCGTCTGCTGAGAGCGTCTGCTCTTGCATTCTCGGAGCCCTTGCGATAGGTTATCGTGAAGTTGTAGGCTGCGAGGGTTTCTGCCCAGCGGACTTGTCTGCGGTTTAAAACCTTGGTCGTGGTGAAGTATATGAGGTTCTTGTGATCCGTCCATACCTGCACAGGGTAGGTGGATCCCTCAAGATATACTCGCCACTGCTCAAAGGCAACGACAATAGCCAGTAGCTCCTTGTCGTGGATGTCGTAATTGAGTTCCGCGGGTGACAGTTACCTAGAGTAGTACGCGATTGGTTTGAACTTACCGTTCTCGTCTGGTTGATTCAGACATGCTCCAATTGCGAAGTCAGAAGAGTCCGTTTCGAGGATGATCTTCTTTGCAGGGTCAAATGTAGCAAGGATAGGTGCTTCCGTGAACTTCGTCTTAAGTTCCTGGAAAGCAGCCTCTGCCTTGTCCGTCCATTTGAATTCGAGATCCTTTCTGGTAAGCTCCGTGAGTGGTTGAGCTACCTTGGAATATCCCGAGATGAATCTTCGGTAGAAGTTGGCGAAGCCTAGGAAGGCTTGTACTTCCTTGACCGTGGTCGGTGTTGGCCATTCCAACAGTGCCGTTACTTTTGCTTGGTCCATCTTGATGCCGTGCGTTCCAATAATGTAACCCAAGAATTCGACTTGGTTTTTATGGAACTCGCACTTCTCTGGTTTGAGGAGTAAGCTGTACTCCTTTAGTTTCTTCAGGACGAGTTTGACATGCTTGACATGCTCCTCCTTGGTTGCTGAATACACCAGAACATCGTCTAAGTAGACAATGGTAAAGATATCTAAGTATTCATGCAAAGCATCATTCATCAGTCATTGCATGGATGCGGGTGCGTTTGTTAGCCCAAAGGGCATGACTTAATACTCGAATAGGCCATAGCGGTGCGGAATGCTGTTTTCCACTCTTCCCCAGCCTTGATTCGGATCAGGTTGTATGCTCCTCGCAGATCTAGCTTACTGAAGATCTTTGCTCCTTGAAATCTATCGTGTAGTTCGTTGATTAACGGCAGGGCATACCTGTCCTTGATTGTGATGTTGTTCAACGCTCGATAGTCCACACATAACCGTAGGGAGCCGTCTTTCTTTGGTACGAAAAGCACCGGACTTCCTGCGGGTGATGTGGATGGTTTGATGAATCCTTTTGCTAGGTTATCATCAATGTACTCCTTGAGTACCTTTAGCTCTTTTTCTGATAGCTGATATATTGGTCCGAACGGTGGACTCTTGTCTTTCTCCAAAGGTATCTCGTGATCCCATGGTTGGTGCTTAGGAAGCGCCTTGTTCTTAGGGCCTTCCTGGAATAATTGCTCATATTCCTTGTACTCCACCGGTATACTCGTCGGTGAGGATGCCTGGGCTAGGTCATCGAGCTCGGAGGTTGCACATAACTCCTTCCGGCCCTGGGAGGGTTTCTCCCGTTGTCGCGTGTCCGTCCGTTGTTCACACGCGCACTGGCTCATCACAACTTTCTCGTTCCACCAGTCGATCTGGGGGTTGTGTTTCTTGAGCCATGGCATACCAAGGATGCACGCATGGTTGTCCATGTGCACGATGTCAAACTGAATCGTTTCCTTGTGCCCGTGTAGCATGACCATTTCTAATGGGACCGTTTCGTGGGTCACCATTCCTTCATTAGTCGAGATGGGCTCTCCATCTACGACCATTAATGGGTATGGTTCGGCTTTCATTGTTGTTTTGAAGCCCTGTGTATCTGCTACTTTCTTTGTCATAAAGTTGCCCGTTGCTCCGGAGTCAATCATTGCTCGGAGGTGTCGCTGTTGTATTTTAGCGACCACATATAGTTGCATGCTGCCTGTCGTGGCGCATAGCTGGTCTGTACTAGGCCTCTTCGTGTCGCTCGCCGGTGGCCTACCGTCGAGGACTCCTAGTTTTTTGACTCGTCCGAGGAGGCATAGTATTCATCCGCGTCCAACGGTGGTCCTTGGGGAGATCGTTTCCCTCGCTCTTCTGCTTCGTCTAGCAGATGTGGGTATTTCTCGTATACCTGTTTGTTTTTGATGGGTAGTTCCCCTTCAGACTGGCTTCGTCTGAGGGCGTGAATTTGATCCGCATCCTGGAAGTGTATGATGGGGGAGGATCGTGGGAACAGCTGATGCTGGTGCTTCTTTCGCCAGTGGAGCTTGCAGTCGTCTTCGCTGCAATACTCCCAGTAGACGTACACGTGCCAGGGATGATCAGTCTCTGTTGCGTCTGACATGTTTAGTTCCTGTTGTCCTTTTGCCCAAGCATGGTCCTCCTTCGGGGGTGTGAGGAACGTGTTCAGTTGTTCCATCGCCCTTCGTTCAATATGTGGAGTGGGTTTTGCATTTTCCCGCCGAAGCATATCCCTGGCCTTCTCGTCGTACTTCTTCAGGGCTCTTCTGCGATCCTGGTAGTAAAGTTCGACACCTTTCATACTCTTGAGTGTGGCCATATGCTCGACATCCTTCTCCAGTTCTTCCGCTTCTTGGTTCTCGTACTTAGCCACATCTGGTGATGTACCAAGTAGCCTGCGGGTGTTCGTTAGTTGGTCGTAGTATCTCCAGAGGTCATCCTTGCAGTCGTCCACCTTGCACTCTAACGGAAGTCCCTGTAACAGGTTCCCGTAGATGCCCTTAAGCGTGGGGATTCTCCTCTGGCTGCTGGGCTTGTCTCGTTCGGCCCTAATCTTTGCGTGGGCGTGTTTTGCCATGCGTCTTACTACGCTCTTGCACCGTGGACTCATTGGTTCCGTAGGTGCGAGCTCATCGAAGGTTCCCTGTTCTGAGACGGTAAGGGATTCTGCCTCTGATTCTTCATCTGAGCTCCCGTCTTCTGGGGTGCTTTCGCCATTAGTTCCCCAGTCCTGTTTGTTCACAAATGTGGCGTTCAACTGCATCCCCGAGGAGTTGTAACCTCCCCGGCCGTGCCAGGTAGCATTGAGTTGTTTGCCGACTTTGCGTCCGCCGTTCCCTTTCTTTGGCTGTCTGCAGTCTCGGGCCATGTGGCCTGGCTTGTCGCAGTTAAAACAGAGTCGTTCCTTGAATTGTCTGTCTTTCTTAGGGTCACGGGGTCGTCCAGGTTTAAACGTGGCATCGAGTTCCATTGAGTCCGACCAACGGTTGTCTCGCGGGTGTTGATCCCGTCGTCTGCCCTCGTTTCCCCGGTAGGGGTAACTTTTCTTGGGCTTGTCATAGGTCCGACGTTCCTTCTGGAATTCGTATAGTCGATTGTTGATTCGGACCGTATGTTCGATTAGCGCTACCATGTCCGTTGGTTTTGTTCCAAACGGGCAAGTTCCATACGTATATGGCTCTTCAGCCCACGTCGGTAGTGGCTGATGAGTGCACTGGCGTCCCATCCTGTCTGATTGCCGTATCTCTGGAATTCTGTGGAGTACGTGAGGGCGCTGCCAGTCTGCTTAAGTGCAAACAGATGGTCTTCCGCGGTCTTAATCTCATCGATGTCTCCGAACATGCGTCGGATTTCCTTACAGAATCCTTTCCAGCTGCCAAACATAGTCTGCGTAGTTGCCATGCTTCCATTGGTACTCTCATATTTGAAATAATCCTTGAGGAATGGTTCGATCCATCGCAGGGCTTCCCCCCTAAGGTAGGACGCAGTCCACAGGGCATAGCTCTCCTGGGTGGGAAACTTCTCGTCATTGAAGTGCTGGTACAGTTCGACCTGTAGCAAAAACACCTCAAGTTCCTTTCGGTTGCCGGAGTAAGTGTCGGGCAACTTGACGCGTAGAGTTTCCTTGAGTTCGTTGACGGTGGGTGCGTCGGGCATCTCTTCATTCTCAGGCTTAGACCTCTGAGACGAAGTTGGCGTGGTGGGGGTTTTCCCCTTCGAGCTGACGACAGACATGTTGCTTTGTGTATGAGCCAGTGCCTCGTAGAAGTGGTGCTCAAAGTGTAACGCTGACTTCTAAACGATAGAAGACACAGAGGTTCTCTTGCGTAAAGGTTTACTTATCAGAGGAGGCAGGGGATTAGACACAAAGGCTTCAAGTAACACGTTACTAGTATATAACAAATACTGTATTGAGTTGAGCACGAAGCTCCTATCTAAGGAAATACTATTTACTTATATAGTGGCGTCGTGCCTAGTGGACTCTTGGGAACTCACTCGAGTCCTCGGAGTCCTGGACTCTTAGGACTCTTCTCATCATCCTGCGAGTCCGTCACGTGATACTTTCGGAACTACTATTCCCCGCTGCCCCTCCAGGTACCAGGGCCGGTCTCATGTAACCTCCCTCCTTCCTGTCCTGTAGTTGGCCAGCCTTCTTGTTCCGTCGTAACACCTCCCATCAGCCACCATTAAAATGGTGGAAAGAGAACGAAAGACTATTCCCTGGACTTGCTGCTATGGCCCGGGATATATTTTGTATTCCTGCGTCAAAAGCTCTTGTTGAGCGTCTTTAGTACTGCCCGCGCTGTCTGAAATTATAAGCGCAATCAAATGACCCCTGATACAATACGGGGAATTATGCTTGTCTTCTACTGCCAGAAGATTGAACGGGAACAGCTATTTGAACACTACTCTGGGTTAGGGTTAGGGATGGCGATGATGATGGGGGCAGCCCGAGCGGTCACCCAGCGAGGGGCGACACGAACGACCACCCAGCAGACCGCCACCGCCCTACCCCCGGGCCTCCCGCTCCTTCTTCTCCTTCCTCCTCTCTCCGGCCTGTTCGCGCTATGGAGGGGCGTTAGCGGAGACGTCCCAACAAAACAGGAAACAGAACGAAGAAAAAGGACTTACCCGCATCTGGCGGAGGACCGCCAACATCTCCACCTGGTTGCGCTGGCGGTCTCGATGACGAGGGCGCGGCAGCCATCCTTGGCGGCAACGGAGGCGTCGCCATAGTCGGACTGCAGTACCAGCAGATCCCGGACGGCAGCGGCAACGGAGGCGGGGACCTATCAACCCTCGTGTCAGCAAACCACCAAAAACCCAGAGGACTACCAAGGACAGAAAAACCCAAACAAGAACAGGCCGGAAACTCACTGGAACGCACTTGTCCTTAAGACGAGTGCACCTCGTGCACTTGGTGGACGTCTTCGGGAAGACACAGGAAAACTCTGGACTCTGCGGAACACGGCGGGAGTGGGGACCCCAACGGGGGTGACGGGCGCAGCAGAGGATGCGGACGCAGACGCAGAAGGAATGGCCGAAGGCCCAACAGGATCTGCCAAAAGGGGTCAGCGAGAGGCCAGAAGAAGAGCCAGAACCCAGAACAACCGGAAATAAGGGGACCTACTAGGACGAACGGGACAACGGAAGGAGACGCGGGGAGCCACACGTGGCAACCCCGGAAGCGCGGTGGGTCGAAGGGGGGACCCGAAAGCCGTCCACCCAGAAACTCCAGAGCGTCAGGAAACGCCCGAAGACGAAGGAAAGAGCGGGAAACTCACTCATCGTGGCCTCGAGGCCGGCAGCAATGCGGGGTTCTTTCACCCCAGAGGCGACAACAGGATCGTCGTCAATGAAAAGGCTCCCTTGAGAGCCGGACATGGTGGGGTCGGCAGGGGCGACGGCGGGGGCGACGGTGAGGATAAATGAATTGGAAGGTTGAAGAAGAAGGGAGGAAGAAGGGGAGGAGGGGTTGTTTTGAGCCCGCCTACTCCTTTGTGGCTAAGGGGGGTCACGTGCGCGGGGCAACGTGCGCTTGGCCCCGTGACGCGCCTGAAAACGAAGGCTGCGCGGGCTGCTTCTGGCCTAGTGCTGAGGGCTCAAAGGCGCGCCCAATTCCAGCCTAAAGAAGGCCTTGGAATAAAGGAAACGGAGGAGCGGAGTCATGTGGTCACGTGATGCCAAATCCGGCTCCGCGTGGCAAGCGCAATGTCGTTCTCGACAACGAACCGGCCCCGAACCGACGGCGGGTCGCCAACGACTTATGCAATCCTACCGCGGGGATATCGCCGAAACAATGGCGTGTCCGTAGGGCCCCGGACTCCAGAGGGGGGGGTATTGTCACGGGTAGGTTGGCAGGAGGAAGAGCCGGTTGCGGTCTCGTGTCAGGGGGCGCCCTAGTGTAGTGTCCCTAGCAGCCTGAGGCCGCTATGAGGCCGTAGAGTGACGCGTGGCCCCGACCCGCCACCGGACCGGAGGCAATCCGACGCCGAGTCAGTAGATAAGGTAGCTGAGCCCCCATTAGGGAGGGCTCAGAGATTAGTCTGTTGAATACTATACTGTTTGCTCCAACCTAGGGTCATAGCACGCTGCCTACCTAAACCCTTACATTGGGAAATGGTCGAAACAATTGAGTTAAGCCAAGTCCGTAACAAGTCCCGGTCTGGTCGGGAAATCCGGGAGTCATGGCGTAATATAGATCTATAGTAATAATTATAGTAATTGCATCTACTACAAATTACACATGGAAAATAAGTCATTATATAGAATATTTACACGTCATTGTCAACTAACCCAGTCATCACGTGATGACAGTCTTGGCAGACCGACGGGGAACCGCGGTTTATGAGCTTCAGACCGGACCGTGGTCCGGTCCGGTTTAGGTCCCCCGTGGCGCACACTAGCCTCAGCCCCCGTCACAAGGGCGCATAAGAACTGATTCTGCCGTTGCAGAGCGCTCACACTAACAATGGCCGCGTCCCCCACCATAGGAATATGGTGGTCTAGGGTTTGATATTGCAATGAAGGGGGAACTTACACTCGACGTAACTTGCCGTTCCTGACCTAACGCTGGAGCACCCTAATCTGGATGTGCTGGATGTGCAACTCCGCCATGTGGTTGCAATGGACTCATCTTCGTCCCTATGCCCAATTGCTCTGATAGCACGCTGGCTGACGCGCCGATCTCCTTATGTATCGTCGATGTGGCAACAGGCTCCGATGATTCCGTCGGGGTATTCGCCGGGGTAGCTGGCATTTGATGGGACATCTCTGGAGCCATGATCAACACAGGGGACTTAGGTGGCTTGATGTGCGTGATGGGAGATAATATGGAGTAGGTGATAGACAAGATATATCAGCGGTAAGAAGCTTGAAGATGATTGACGAGTTTGGAGACTGCAGAGGTTTATGATCGGAATTCTGGGGAATTGCGAGCCCTTATATATTCATCGATTCTTTCTCACTTCATGTTAACGAAAGACCAGGCCCCTGTAAACCAACAGCGGCTGGGGAGTTGAGGGAAGCCGATCCTTCTAAGTTCAGGATCACCAGCAGCTCACGGTTGCAGCATCATGCATTGGCTCAATGAATAATCAAGAAGGTCCAAGGGTGCATGATGCAAACAACGCGGGGAGAAGCACACATCCGCAAGACAGTGTTGGGAGAGTTGCTGGCGAGACCGATTTATCATGCAGCCTTGTGAAGGATTGATGTGAGACAGTGAGAGTGTTCAGGCTAGATTTCTAAGATCTGCTGGACGAACCTGCAGCCCATAGTTTCAGCAGGGCGCATCAGCACAGGTTTATCAAGTCATCATGCAGGCAACATGGGGAAGAGCGGCACAATTGAAGGGAGGCATTGATTGCATTTGGACGGAAGAACGTTGGGGAAAGCGTTTAAAACCATGGAGTTCTCGTACAGTACGAAGCGCTGTAGGGTGCGGATACGATGCGATTCCCCCATTGTTCATGGCTCGTGTAATATGATTGGAAGCGCTGGTGGCACCTGTTCTCTCATTGGCATAAATATCCCACAATCTCCCATATTCTCTCCATCAATCTACCATCAACCGACCATCTATAATCCCAAACTTTCATCGGACTATCCCTCATTAAACCACCATCAATCCTCCCTTAAAAGACTTGTTGAGGTCATCGATCTACCATCGATCTACCATCAAAACACCATCAAAATACCATCAGGCTCTACGTTCCATCGGAACTCCCAACACTTTCAGTCATCGCCTCAGCGTGATGGAAAAGCATTCTCGTTACAAGCCACTCGATACCGAAGAGGCTTGGGATAGGCTTGCTGGCGCTAGCAAGAACCTCTCAGTACTCGGAAGGTTGAGCGATGCAGAGGCACTACGCACTTCAGAGGCTGTTGAGATGTTAAAAACGGCACAACCTTCTGGAAAAACAAAACGTTACAAAGAATTTTTATACGATGTCCTCGGTAACTCCAGTCCTCAATTTGTTCTACTATGTGCGGTAGCTCTCGGCCAAGTTCGAGTGGCCAGTATGACAAATGAGAATCGTGTCGGCCTAATTAGCAAAATTAAAGACAGTACGGACAACACTGACATGAACTACGCTACTGTTCAATCGCTTGCCATCAAGTATCTCATACCTAAGTCTGTGGCCGGTGAGTTCTCTCCTACCTGGAAAACACAGTATTGGGCTAATTTGGAGCAGACCTACCACCACTACTACATACCGTCACTAAACGAACAAAACGAAAACGAAAACAAACGTCAATAGACCCTCAATATTCAGAGCAGGCATCAGGTGCGAACACACTAGTCAGCCCTTCAGAACTCCTTGTTGATTGTGGCTACCATTAGAACCTCCTATCGAACACACGACTAGCACTGCTCCACCCGTTCTAGAATCTGCCACAGGACTGACTGGCGACACCTACGAACTCACACCTGAAGATGCTCTAGCAGTCATTAACGAAATCCGTGGTCAGCTTTGGTTAACTGATCCATATGATGGTAACACCCTTCAGCCATTCGTTACCATCCCTATCTCATGGAAATTACGGGATCGGTTTATTTTACAACGACGACGGATGCTGTGAAATCCCTCCAACACCAAGTATTAAACGCCCCTCTTAGCAACATACCCTACTGGAAGAGATCCAGCAGCAGAGATATACCAGGCACTACTCCAGGGGACAATCACCAGATTGCCGGCCTGCTCCGTTCCTATGCCATCGAGATATTCGCTGCCAGATTTTTGGAAGATCCGGATTGCTCCTTTGCTCATCCGAACGTCGACGATAATAGCGACAGTGTTTTCAGGAGGTGTCGTTGGTTTGGCTTTTGCTGGAGTTGTCCAAGTTATTGTAGGGTCGCAATCGCAGTTTGTCTACAGAAACAACTTAGTATCCGTATGAATGTATACTGCACTTTGGAAACACCTTACCTTTTCCTCGCATTCCTCCACGAGCTTATCATCCGTAGAGCTTGCGGCTTGAATCTTTGTGACCATGATCCAAGCTATTCAATATGATTCGTAAGCAGAGACCAGTGGTATGACTCGTGGATATATTGCCCGAGTTGTTATCAATCTTGAGATGGGAATAGTATCCTCTTTAACAAGCACGTCTTGTCGATATTGACCCTTCTACCGTCTCCACGCGCGATTAATTGAGGAGGCGTTGTGGGCAAATCTTTGGCGAAGTCGACGACTTATAGTAGGGAAGGTCGCCTGACAAATTTCAAGCTTTCTTTGTGGGGCTATCCTTGAATGTATGTAAGGACCCGTGTCTCCACAGAACAGAGGAGTCCTGAGAGAAAGCCGATATGGAAGTCTCAGCCCAAGGATCGAAATTGATATGGCTGAGGGAATAGGTGGCTGTGGTGCCCTCAAAATTGTCGCACACAAGCTCAAGAAGACAGCGTGTCGAGGCAAGGACAAGACGCTGGTACGTGCCTTCGATACAATATAAATCAGCTGTATGCATTATACAGAGGATGGAGGGGTTCGTGCCGCACTCACCCTGTCTGGGATGTATTGTAGAGGCCCAACCTTCCAGCCTGGGATGCGCAAGGTGTGAAAATGAATCTGACAAATATACCTGTCGCTGTACTGTGGATGCTGACGTTGGGAAATATGACGAGACTTGCTCTGCTTCACGATGAGTTGAAGGTCGTTGATGACGCTGTTGTCATTCGTGGATAGAGATAGTTGGCAAATGGAGGGGTGTGATGCCATGTGATTTGCCTAGCCCGAGATCACCCCGGTTGCTTAACTTAGGCTCTAATACTTCAGGCCGCGAATTTTTTATATTGAAATGTACGGCTGGTCATAGAGGAAAATCAGGTGATTTCTAGGAGTCAGAAAGAATTTTCTTGACAGCTTGGGATACTTCGATAAGAAGGAAGCTGATAGGACTCCAAGCAGCCCGTAGTTGGCCGATTACTTTGCACATTCAGGCCAAAAGCCAAAAGGACAGCTCATCGTATCACGTGCGCTCAAACCCCCTTTTTAGAAAATCCAAAATTTTCAACATATGACACGATACAGTATATAGCAAGTTATAATGTTTGCGTTATTTCTGATCAATGATGGAATATGACGATATATTGATGGAGTATTGATGGTATATTGGTGGTAATCGACGAGGGTCCATGTTTCAGAAATGGTGTACTGATGGAGTATTGATGGTAAGCGACACAGTGGTCGAGTAGCAGGGACCAAGCTAGAGTCCTGGCAATATATTAGCTTCCTACATCCATCACGGCTTGGGCCTATATCTTACACTGTGCTCCATCCGCCTCTGGGAGTCCATTACTATGAACCTTGAACGTCATCTGGAAGATTTGCCGTGGTTGGGTTGGGGGGCAAACTGCAACGTCTATGAAGTTACCCCTCTCATCGTTGTAAAGGTACCCAAGCAAGGGAGTGACGAGAGAAAACAATTCCGTAGAGAGGTGGAGATCTTCCGCATCCTCTCGCGCCACCCGCCATGTCCTCAATTAATATCTTGCTTCTTGCACACTAATGATGGCATCTTTCTTGAGTATATGAGAGACATCTGCCTCTCCTGGCGCATTCAGCAAAATCATAGCCGAAACCGCGAAACAATGCAGGTTACTAAGGTCGAAAAGTTGGAACCACTCTCATTACGCATGACATGGATGAACGATCTCTCACACGGAGTTGCTTTTCTCGAGTCCCTCGGATTTGCGCATGGTGATCTCCGACCTGAGAATATTCTGCTCGATCGTGGCCGCCTAAAGCTTGCAGACTTTGACTGTACGGCCAAGCTCGGGTCAGAATTTGAAGCGTGCATTTCTCCATACGGAAGAATACTTGGGAGCGAAGGCGGCGTCGACAAAGGCACTGCTGGCAATCTCGGTCCTCGAACAGAACAATTTGCACTTGGCTCGTTGTACTATCTAATCAATTATGGGTTTGAAGTCTACGGTGACCGTTGCTTAGGCGACGATCCATCTGGGAAGGAGCATGGACCTACCGTTGTGGACCTGTTACAGAAGAAGATTTTCCCAGAGCTCCACGGAGACCCGATGATCGACTCTATCATCGAGAAGTGCTGGCACGGTGAATATAAAACAATCGGAGAATAGAAAATACAACAAGGCTCTGTGGTCCTGGTAACAGGGTTTCGGATGTGATGTCTTCAGACGACCTTGCGTCAAAGAGGGAACTGTGCGAGGAATTAGTTGGACGTGGGATCCTTGAAGTGCTTGGTTCAATTGATCCTCGACAACGCGGCCGGCCAATTGAGCGTAGGTGGGTTAGCTGGGAATTTTTGAAGCCGCAGGTGCTATATAGTTCTGGCGTGCCTGCCACATGTGGATATAAGTACGATAAGCATAAATGTTGTGTTGCAATAGAGTGTAAAAACCTTCAGTGAAGGCCATCGATACCAACGCGGAAATTTAAAGCAGGTATAACGATAGATATATTTCCTTTGAAGATGGTCAGTACAACCGGCTTGCAAAATTAAGCAACTTACTCAGCTAAAGAAAGAAGAATCTGTACAGCCTCATCTTGCTTCGTACGAGAAAGCACAAAGAGTACCACGCTGAAGATAGCAAGAACTACCTGCATGGACATTTGCAGGCATAACTTGGTTTCGTGAGTGATATATTGACGGGCAGATATGAACACTGAGGAGATCAGGGTAGAAAGGTATCGAGATATCGAGGGGAGAGCCAAACAGGTACGGTCAACGGTGGGAAATTAAGGCGATACACACCGGTCGGCACGTTGCATTGTTCTGATGCTTCTACTTATAGAAGGGCCTCTATATAACGATAGCAGACGGAGAGATCAATCGCACCGCCTATCCAGCATAAGACATGATACCCAAACGTTGAGCTCCAGCTACCATCCGTGCCTATTAAATCGATAGCTCCGTCGCTGTCGCTTTACCACCAATACACCTTCACAATCTTTAGGCTGCCTTGACCCACTTGCCTTGCACTTTGATCCAGACTCCATTGTCAATGCAGTCGGGGCAAGGGTCCCTCTTCATCGTCTGCGCCAACCAGGACGTCTTTTGAACGGTGCCACAATTTCCGCAGCCATTGTATTCAATGACACTTCCCGGCGAGTCGATGACATGTTGGCACCGGTGGACGACTCTCTACATCAAACGTTGACACATCTTTGCTCTGCATTACCGGATTGTTAAAACTGTTTGCATTATTTCAGAGCGGCACGAACCTTTTGGTGTTGGAGGAGATTTGATATGGCTATCTTCACTTGGTTTCTGTTTCAATATAGTATCGGTCATCGGGGGAGACCGAGAGCTGTACTTATGCTGGCGCTGATGGGAGAAACTTTGATTCAGCTGAACAGCAAAATCATGCAGAAGGCTCAGTCAAGGCAGAATATATCCTGTTGGGTGTTCAAGTTCAAACTAGGCAGTATCAAGCCGAAACAAAATGAGTCAGATAATGGTATTGGATTGCGTAAGGGCAGTTTAGGTTTGGAGCACAGCATAATGCGACCTTTTACATTATATTGGCAGAAGCTGATTAGCTCTCAGGGTTTTGAGTAGGCTGCGCACTACTCGCTCAATACTCGGCTCACTCGCTCAGTGGGTTACTCAGCTGGGTGAGTAGCTGAACCTTTTACTCGACTCGGTGAGTGAGGTCAATACTCAGTTACTCTGTAAAAACCCGGTGAGTACTCGGCTATCACGTGTAAGATTTATGCATCATGTGAACAGTCCCTCATACGATTAATACTGTTTTATGGTTAAGTTAAAGTATTACATCTATTAGCATCACTCTCGCCATCTCTAGTAAGCTGTGAGAACGAATCATGTATATTCCTCTATCTAAGTACCATGATTATCAGAAGATTATTAGAACGCTATTATCTATTATATATGCTTAAGAACATCCCTCCACCTTGCTTGATGAGGCCGGCCAGACCTACTAATACCTAAAGTATTTATAGGGTCTTGATGAGGATCCTCGACTGAGCGGAACGAGCTATGAGTCAAGATAACTGTGTATAGAACTTGTTCATAAAATGTCTCTTGTGTGAGAATATGATCTTATTATAGGTATTAACCTACATAATTCTGGTAATAATCTGGTAATCCTTACTTGTTGAGGTTGCATTTGATTGATTCGCATTTGATAGAGACTATCCTTCCCATCTGTGACTTCTTTTTGCAAATGTCTGATGCAAGATGTGTTGCCATAGACTTTGGGCCAGCAGACTTGATTGCAGGATGCGTAAGGGCCTTCGAACAATAAGTACAAATAACACATGGTTCTCCAGAAAGCCGGTCTGCTCCTTGGTGATAACTTCTCCAGTATTGAGAACTCCAGTTGGTTGAATCCCATGCAATCTTCATAAGGAGTTTTGTAGTATGATCTGAGTGTTGTTCATACCATCGTGATAGCTTCCACCACTCAATGAATATATCGTGTGTATCCTTAGTCCATTTGACGAATTGGTTTAACTTGCCAATATATTCAAGGCCTGCAGGGACTTTGTAAGGATGCCTGTCCCTCAGTGATGGAAAGGATCTGAGTCGGGCAGGTTACGGTCACATGATAAGAGTTAAGGCAGGTTAGCTGAGTCGGACCCATTTCGGGTACTTAAGGAGATTGACCCAAGTGGGGTTCCTCTCTTCATCTTTTTTGTATCCTTCGTAGTAGACCTATAGGATAGCATCCGTTTAGCCTCTGACTCGCACTCTCATATGCTATTACTGTGAGCTGGGTGCCCTGTGTCCTTACAGACTTGATTTAATGAGGATAGTCGTTGAGAAGACGGAAAAGAGTCTGAGAATACTGTCAGAATCAAACAACTCTGAGTATTGAGATGGCATTTGGCAAATTGCTCGATTATCAGAAGGTTACCAGAAGTCTGGCTACGATGAAGTACTTAAATACCTGGTTTTCCAACGCGAAAGGTACTCCAGCGCTATAACTTTAGCAACTCAAGTTCTCCTCTACTCTAGCTCCAGGAACAACATATCCTGTGCAGCTGATACCTTAGCCCACTTTTCCTTATCAAACTTCTTAGAGTAGACAAGTAAGAACGCCTCTTTGAAGCTAGAACTATGAGTGGATATTTGCAACCATCCATTGTCGACAAGATTGTAAGACTTTGGGTACCACTGCACAGGTCCTGGTAATTAGGCCCACTTTCCAAACTGCCTGCTCGTACAAACAGAAATATTTATGTGGTGGGATAACCTCGTGAAAAGTGCTATAATAAACAATTAGTATTGCCAGAAGATTGCTAGGATGATCAGAGACGTACCCTTCCTCTACATCAATCCACGGCATATACTCAAAGAGACGCTCAGGCTTCTTTCTCAGCTTTTCAGCCTTTCTCGTATATGAGTGGATACAGCTATCCCAGAAATGTTGCCACTTGCGGAAATTGGACTCTTCATGGGCCTATCAACTATTAGTATCACCAGAAGATTACCAGATTATGAGGTAGCATACATCAATGTGCGCTTGAGTTAAGAGAGCCTGGGTGCTAGTGATCTCTTCATCGGAAAGCTCATCTGGTAGAACAGCCTCGTCATTTAAAATATCTCGCGCTGTAACATAAGCTCCAACTCCAAATCGTCTTCAACCTCAGTATCCTCCCATTCGCTGTTATGATTGTCATCGATTGGAATACTTGAGATACCCTCAAATGCAGCAAGCTCAGACAGAAGTTGTTTGGGCGGAGTAGATGGTGGGGCTTGTGGAGAAGAAGAGGCGCTAATATTCTTGACTTTCTGATTCGCAATGCAAGATGCATGGGTACCCTTCTCAGTCCTGTTTATAGTTAGATTGAGGCTACCAGAGATTACCAGAAGGAACTTACCGAACACAAATACGCTCAACCTTCAATCCATTCTGTAGACGTGTCTTGTCTTCAGTAGAGGCAGCGATATACTTTGTGTAATGACACAGGGCACCCAGCTCACAGTAATAGCATATGAGAGTGCGAGTTGGAGGCTAAAAGGATGCTATCCTATAGGTCTACTACGAAGGATACAAAAAAGATGAAGGGGGAACCCCGTTAAGTTTGTTTCCTTAAGTACCCGAAACGGGCCCGACTCGGTTATCCCAACCCTAGCCCTGAACCTTCCACCGCAACAGGTCCGCATCGACCCTGAACCCTACACCCTTACCGTCCCCCACTATAGTGTAACTCGCTATGTCCTCCTCTACTGGTCCGAAACCACACCGAGTCGGATTTCATGCTTGTGGTGACCGTAACAGCTCTGAGGCGGGTTCTTCGAGTATCTAGGTAAGGAGGCATCCTTACACTTTGCAGACTTATATAACTTCTTTAAGTAGTAGCTCAGATCAGCATGGTCAGCCTTGAGTACTAAGTGAACAGCCTTCTCATCTTCAGTAAGGTTGGAGACGCAGTTGCTAGCTTTGATAGTATTCGCATTAGTGGAGAGTTCTTCATGTGCCTTGAGTTTCGCCATACTAACTAAACACGTGATTAGCAGAGATCTCCAGAAGTTCTGGCTATAGAATCAAGATAATAAACTTAGTTGAAGTCCTAGTGAAGAGGTAAAGGCTCAAAAGGGAAGAAGAATGTGTAGATCGGAGAGTAACCAAGGAAGGTGGTTCTAAGGTCGTGGTTATTTTAAAGTTGCAAACAAAAATATTTGTGAAGGAATATTCACCTACAAAGAATTACTGTTCCAAAAACAACACCACAATGCGCACCTTCATATAAAACACATACCTTTCAACCTCTACCTCTTTACTATACTCTTCTTCTGCAATATTCTTTCTACAAACTCACTGTAAGTACACATATCTTTTGATCTACTTCTTTATCTTGTGTTTACTTTACTAACCAGTGTTCGGCACGGATACCAATATACCCGTGGTATCCGGGTATATCCTCGAGTATATACCTACCCGGCGATATTTTAGGAGTATCCGGCGTATCCGGATACTCTCGAGTATATATCCGGATACATGCCAAGAATAGCCAAGCGCAGCCAAGACCTCTTTTTTCCAACGTCGTGAGATCTATATTGATGCTGTATAAAGTGATAATTATCCTCAGAATGAGCGACTCGTCGTTATCAGATATACCAACGGAGCCTGAGGGCTATAATAGCTATGATACTCATAATGAGCCAAGTCTGCCAACGCTGCCGCCCCCTATTCATATTCAACAGGATATTAATCCTACACCGCTCCGGCTTCAGCCTCCAGGACGAATGCTGCCACCAACGTCGTCGGTACTATTTACGAAGCTATTATATTCGCGATTGATACTTGATAGTAACCCACCTACAGTCAAAGTAACTTGCTTACAACCAGGCTGCGGATATTCACCTACTCCACAGCTATTAAGTCAGACTTCAACCGGTAATCTTTGGAAGCACTATACGCAGAAGCATCCAACAGTAGCATATACAATGAAAGGTCATACAATTACGCCGTCAAGCCCATCAAGTAGTGCATCGTCATTTTTTGAGCCACGGCCGCGGAACCCGCAAGTCCAGCACGCTCAAGCTCAAGCATCAAATAGTAGAGCGAAATACCGAGAGTTATTACTCTCATTCGTTGTATCAAATAACCTCTCCTTACGACTTATTGAGAGCTATTCGTTCCATCAATTAGTACAGTTCTTAAGCCCAAGTACTCTATCGATATCGTCGCGAACACTACACCGAGAGCTACAGCGGCAATTCTCATATCACCGAGGATTGCTACAATTAGAACTCCAGGCTCATATTACCTATGGCGGCCGGATATCTATTACAACAGATGCATGGACTGCACGGAACTATACAGAGTACGCTGCTGTCACAGGCCATTGGATTAATGAGAAGTGGCAGCACCGGTGCGTATTACTTGATGTAATCCACCTTCAAGAGCCAATTCATAGCGGCGAATATCTCGCTCAAGAGTTAGCTGCAGTAACAGATAGCTTCGAAATTACAGGTGCTATATTTACTTGTACGCGGGATAATGCCTCAGCGAATACTGTGATGCTTTCAGAATATGAGAAAATAGCCAGTAAGCAGCAGACGACTATTCAACAGCCATGGACGTTTACTGTAAAGGAAGGGGACGTTCGGTGTATTGCTCATATTATCAATCTTGCAGTTCAAGCTACTCTAAAGAGCTTGAAAGCTAGCCCGGATACAGAAACAGAAGCGTACTGGTGTCAGCAAGGGCTTGCCCGGATTCCGCAGCGTATTGATAACTCTTCTACTGAAGTATCAGCTACGCTTGAGAAGCTCCGAAGGCATATTTATGTCTTTCGAAACCGAAGAGCATGGAAGGATGCTTTACAGAAGCAGATACAAGCTGCAGGCCAGAAGCCACGCCAGCTATCACTTGATATGCCTATACGCTGGAATTCAACGTACTATATGCTTGAAACAGCTATAAAGCTTCGAATACCAATTACTGCAGTATGCTCTACGCAGAAGCTTGATATCAGTATGAAGGATATTGCGTTAACAAGCAACGATTGGGCTATTATCGAAGCTCTTGAACGATTATTCTTAGTATTCTTAAAGCCGTCAAGACGGCTACAAAGCGATTCATATCCAACGCTCAACTTTACAATTCCTCTTTACTTAAAGATGATAAATAAGGTCACATTACTACAAGAAGAGCTTGGTAGAAGCTCTACGATCGGAGTAGCTTGTGGAGCTGCGCTTCAAAAGCTTAATGAGTATTATACTCTTACAACGAATCGGCAATGTAAGCACTCAGCTGTTGCTACAATTTGCGACCCACGAATGAATCATACAGTATTTAAGAAGATATATCCAAATGCTATAGACGATACACGAAGATTACGAGCAAGAGCGCAGTTCGAAGACGTTTGTAGAACGTACCAAAAGCGAGAGTATCACCTTGATACGGAGCGAATTACTCACGAAACAGCTCTTGCAGAAGCAATAGGTGCTACTGCTACAATAGATCAAGAACCTGATTCTGACGAAGATCTATTTGCGTCAGAAGGCTTGGCTTTTCAAGAGCCAGAATGGAGGCGCTGGATGCTTGAACCACGGCCCGGTGAGCATACTGATATTCTCAAATATTGGTGCGCAAAGCAATACCAATATCCAGTTATTGCCCGTATTGCTCGTGATCATCTAGCTATTCCAGCAACATCTGCAGCATCGGAACGAGTATTTAGTAATGGTAGTGATATTATTACAAAGAAGCGGAATAGGTTATCACCGCCAACTATTAGATATTTACTTTGCTTACGGAATTGGGGTAAAATACGGGAGGCTGATAGCGACGGCGATGATGCTGACGATGAAGCACCTGAATAGGGACTCGCAGAAAGGGGGGGTCTCACGGAAAGGGGGCTCGCGGAAAGGGGTTTACTACTATTATCAAAAGCTTCATTCTTTTTATATACGCTATTCTATTTTTATATACAATATTCAGCCTCATGTATCCGGATATATACCCTACCCTACCCGTCAGATCGTCGCCGGGTATATACCCTACCCGTGAGCTTCACGGATACTACCCGGATATGTATCCGCCGAACACTGTTACTAACTCACCTTGATATTAGCAAATGACTCGTACCAAGCAAACTGCTAGGAGATCAACTGGCGGCATAGCACCAAGGATGCCACTTGGATTACGGGCTGGCTCTGGGCTTGGCGGAAAGGGACAGGAAAAGGCTGTGGGCACAGCAAGAAAAGCTCCAGTTTGCTCATCTCAAGCTAGCAACAATCATGCTCAGAAGGCCACGCGCTGCACAAAGTCTAGTAAGAGGATTACCAGAGGATTACCAGAGGATTACCAGAACTCTCTAATAAACATATAGGCACCAAGGCTCTCCGCGATATCAGAAGACAGAAAGGTCATGTACTCTTCCGAGTCAGGGTGCATCCGTATGCGATGGAAGGCTTGTCTAATATCTAGCTTCGTGAAGATTTTTGCTTTCGACACCCGTCCTAGTAGTTCGTCGATACGTGGGATGGGGTAGGGATTGTTCTGTGTGAGACCATTTAACTTCCGGTAATCGATGCAAAATCTTAATTTGCCATCCGCTTTCTTTATGAATAAGATAGGGACACGAATGGGCTGTTGCTGTTGACGATGAAGCCTTTCTCTATGTTCTCTAACAGGTATTGCTTGGTAGCCTTAAGCTCTTCGGTGCCCTGTCGATATAATGGGGAGAAAGCGTTTAGTAAAGGGGCTTCGAGCTGTATCTTGTGGTCGTATATGCGGTGTGGGGGGATTCGATCTGATTCCAACTTCAAAAAGACATGGGTGTACTTCTGGTGCATATGCGGAAGCTTCTGCTGGATGAGGCAGAGCATTTCTTCGTCCTCTACCAACTCCTTTTCATGGATGATCTGGTCAATTTCGTAGATGCTAGTCTGAAAGAACTCGGAGTCGCTTTGCATCATCTCGTGATGGAAGGCATTGGCACTGATTTTGCATATCCATATGGGCGTGAAACTAGGTACCAGTTTCACTAGTAGTGGGGGAGAAACTTCTTGGTTTCGGGTAGGACTCGGTGGCATATCGGTGATCTCTTCATAGCCTGAAGTTATCACTTTCATATTCATCGAGCGTCTGCCTGCGCGGCATCTGTCTTCATGGTGGATTGCAGCATCCCTGCGATTCGCATCCAGCTGGTATGCGGCATGTCGAATAGACGTTTCTCGCATGTAGTAGGGCAAGGTGATCTCCTTGCTCCAGCTAGGAGTCAGCGGGTACTCCTTTGGCCATACTAACCGGTTCTTTGCAGAGTTGAGTAGTATTCGGAAGTGGCTGAAAAGCTTCTTCCCAATTATCACATCTTGTGCTCCGAGGTCCAGGAGTACAAAGGGGCAGTTATATATCCGGTGTCCTTCGACTGTTAAGTGTAACCAAATATACTCCGATACATGGCCTTGGATTTTGTGCTGAAATCCACGTATGGGTACAGAGTAGGGTAGTTTCCATATGGGACTCTGAAGCACTTTCGACAGTCGTATTGCAAAAGGCTTGTTAATGACGAGGTAGCCATTTGCTCCTGTGTCTGCTAGTTTGCACCCCGAGTCCATTCATACTCAGGGTCATGTCGACTAAGAACTGGGTACCTCCCAGGAGTTCTAGTAAGTCTAGTCCTCGCAGGTCACATTTGTGTAGACCTAGGAAGGAGCCTTCTCCTAGGCCTCATCGTTTTCCTCGAGGGACGCATCCCATTGAAGTTCCACGGCTTCCTCCCATTGTTCTTCTGCCTCAGGGTCGTTATGGTTGATTTCCTTGATAGTAGCATAAAAATGGCCAGGCTTGCCACACTTGAAACAGTTCCCTGAGGATGCTGGGACTGCGGTCTTCACACGCTCCAGCATCGTTGGCTTGGGGAGGACGTGGCTCGGGTAAACAGAGCAGGTGTGGCTTGAGTCGGCTTCGACACCGACGCCTTTGTGTTACGACGGAACAAGAAGGCTGGCCAACTACAGGACAGGAAGGAGGGAGGTCGCATGAGACCGGCCCTGGTACCTGGAGGGCAGCGGGGAATAGTAGTTCCGAAAGTATCACGTGACGGACTCGCAGGATGATGAGAAGAGTCCTAAGAGTCCAGGACTCCGAGGACTCGAGTGAGTTCCCAGGAGTCCACTAGGCACGTGATGGACTCGCAGGATGATGAGAAGAGTCCTAAGAGTCCAGGACTCCGAGGACTCGAGTGAGTTCCCAAGAGTCCACTAGGCACGACGCCACTATATAAGTAGATAGTATTTCCTTAGATAGGAGCTTCGTGCTCAACTCAATACAGTATTCGTTATATACTAGTAACGTGTTACTTGAAGCCTTTGTGTCTGATCCCCTGCCTCCTCTGATAAGTAAACCTTTACGCAAGAGAACCTCTGTGTCTTCTATCGTTTAGAAGTCAGCGTTACACTTTGCTGTATCCGTGGTACGTGTGGACATCCTTGCAGGGGCGGGTAGCGGATTCAATTCCTTGTTCTGGCACAGTTCCTGGTCGAAGGCAGTAAGTTCTCGTACCATGGTGTGGTAGTCTCCATTCCATTGGTTTTTGATGATCGCGACGCGGCTGCAGAATTGGGGAGTCAACTTGTTCCACATGTACCCAGCTAAAAATTGGCGGGGGCATTTTGAAGGTCAATTCTGGGAGCTATATACTAAACATTACGCCAACCAATAACGATCAAGGCAATACCAAGACCAAAATAGCGAACTTGATATAGACCCAATGGCTTTATTATTAAACTGGAAACGAAGTTATAATGTAACGCTGACTTCTAAACAATAGAAGACACAGAGGTTTCTTAGGTTGACTTGACAGAGGAGGCAGGGGATTAGACACAAAGGTTTTCCAAGTAACACGTTACAGTATTGTAAAGAATACTATATTGAGTTGAGCACGAAGCTCCTATCTAAGGAAATACTATCTACTTATATAGTGGCATCGTGCCTCATGGGTAATCTGGATAGTTGGCGGATAGCTAGATATTCAGGATAGTTCGTGGATAGCTCAACTATCCAATATCCACTAGTTTCTGCAACTATCCATTAGCCCCATCACATGGCAGCCTACCCCGCTTGCCCCCTGTGACTCACACATCACATTACTAGGCCCTGGCCCTGTAACCATGACATCATGTTACTGTAGCCGTAACATATAACTCTTGGAATTAAAATACCGATCAGGTAGGAGAGATAGTGCAGTACCTTGCCCTCCATAAGTTTATAGTAATAATTATAGTAATTACCACTAACTATTATTAGCAGCCTCCAATCAACCACCATTACTATGGTGGAAATATAACGAAGGACAATTTCCTGGCCTTGCAGCTATGGCCCGGGATATACTTTGTATTCCAGCTTCAGAAGCTCTTGTTGAGCGAGTCTTTAGCACTGCCCGGACAGTGTGTAATTACAA